GGGGGTATTTGAAATGAAAGTGTAAATATTGTTTAGTACTTTATATAATTAAAATATGAAATAATAAAGAAAGGATAAACAATAACATCATACGTTCTTGTTAAATAGATTCATAATCTATTGAGAATTGTCAAGAAAAATGACTATAGACAACTGACAGCACACAGGCAACCACTTGAGCGACAGTGTAACACCCATATCACAGTACTACATATCTTTGTCCCGACCACCAAAGCCTGTAAGATTGCGAATCATCTTAACTTTTCTTTGTTATTGTACCCTATATGTGTGTGTGAGCATGTGCATGTGTGTGTGTATGGGTGTGTGTGTGTGTGTGTGTGTGTGTGTGTGTGTGTGTGTGTGTGTGTGTGTGTGTGTGTGTGTGTGTGTGTGTGTGTGTGTGTGTGTGTGTGTGTGTGTTTGTGTGTGTGTTTGTGTGTATGGGCGTGGGTGCGTGTGTGTGCGTGTGCGTGTGTGTTATTTATCGTTTATATAGTGATCTGTTTGAGGATTTAATAGTTTTGTATGTTATCAGATATCCTGCGACAGCTCCTACGGAAACACGTAACCGGACAACGGTCTGTATCGCTAAACGCGCTTTATACTCCCCGGTTACACGCGATGAAGATCTATTTATGACAGTGGACCATACACGAGGAAACGAAAGTAAAACCAGACACAGTCAAGTAAGTGTATCTCGCATTTTAGATGCTCGACTATCGCTCATTATCACAGAGATGTAAGTGATTAATCAACGTCCTGAAATATTAATTGTTGGTGTCATTTGTAATCATATGGTAATGATCATACGTACCTCATCTAGCGTACATGGTCCGGGAGGATGCAGTTAGTTACTCTGCCTCAAGTTACATTTCGTCCTCTGCTGTATTTCCTTCTCGTATTGTGATGCAAGGAAGGTAGCTCTACAAGAAATGTTAGTCGTGTCACATATAGGCCGACAGTGCCCAGGATGCACAACAATGAGTTAATGTGGTTTACGCCACTGTCGGAAATATACCATCTATAACACTGCGGCTTGTCAACAATCGAGCCTCGACATAATCAGCGATCAACGAATCGAGGACACTATCAAACGAGTCCTTCATTTTTACACACGGTTCTTAATTTTAATAATCACGAAAAGAGGTAGCATAGGGCACGAGCGATCTATCCCTGTAGTGTGTCAAGGACATGCCTTGGGGATTAAACCTCTTCGCAGTGTTACATGGTGATCATTGTTCATGGTTCGTGTTTCCCCCATGCTTCATTTATGGCTGGATTCTGCTGCCATGTCTCTATTATCTTATTTCAGAGCTTTGTTGAAACAGAGGAACATGATGACTGAACTTCATTTTAGAGAAGTAAGGAACGGTGTAGCCTTATCTCAAAGCGGCAGCCCAGTGGTCGTTGATGTGGCATGTAACGAGAACGTGTTTGAGATGTTGGATAAGGAAGAGAAGGTTGAGGGTAAGGATATATATATCACATGTACGTCATTGAGTATATCAATGGATGTTAACCGATAGACAAGAAATGCTCCCAAGAACTCTTTCCTTGATTTATTTGTTTCAGAAATATATGTTAATCATATTTTGGTATCCTGTGATATTTGACGCACCTCTATATTTGTATGTTATTTTCAGAGATAGAAACCTTGTTCTGCATCCATTGGGAGCACAGCCCAGATGTTACATACGTCCTCTCCTCAGTGACTCTCAGCATGAACTCTCAGGCACAGGTGGACTTGCAACATGAGTTGGCCAAATCACTTGCTCGAAACACAACCATGCTGCAACAGTTCATATCTGACCTGTTCAAGAGTTTCCATGCCAAGTTGGTTGCTGTCAAATATGCTCCTCTCAGATTCATACTGCTACACAAAGACAAAGAGTCGCTTACCTCAATGGCTCGGAATTCAAGTGTCTTGCAGGCAATATTCAAAGAGATGATGTCCACTTGCTGTAGCACACTGCCTCAGGTGCAGCTGAGGATGAAGTTGTTCAACTCATCACTTCCTCCCTGTGCTGAAGTAAAGCGCGAGTGTTTCTTCCAATCAGACAACGAGTTCCGCACAGACTCCATGTACATGTCGTATCTGCCGTCTATGCACAGGGCAGTGTAAGTTCCTCGGACATTAATCTCTATGCTTGACATGTATAGCAGGGCGTGGATTCATCCCATAGATGACATCCTTACCTTGTCAGCTTGCTGACGGGGTTAACCTCTTTGGTCATGTGGACAAGGCGTCCGACCTCTGATCAGAAGGTCCGTGGTTCGAATCCCATCACGGGACTCGGAAATCTTATGGCCGCTACACATGTATCAGACGGAAGCATATTGTCACGATGCTCTTGATTAAGATGTCATTTGCTTAATTTGTGTTTCGTGTAACTTCTGGTTTGAAACTGGTTCCTTGGCAGCAAATAATTTGGTATTTTTATGTGTTGTTTGATGCCGCAATCAGCAATATTCCAGCTATATGGATATACGGTCTGTAAATAATCGAGTCTTGACCAAACAATCCAGTGATTGACATCATGAGCATCGATCCGCGCAATTGGGATACAATGATATGCTTTAACCAAGTCAGCGAGCCTGACCACCCGATCTAGTTAGTCGCCTCTTACGACAAGCATAGTCGCCTTTTACAGCAAGCAATATTGCATTTGTCATATGTCAATAACAAACATGAGTCTCTGATTCACAGATCTACAGATACAATACTACATGACATCGAAGCCGAAGACAATAAGGAATCCATAGATAAGCGTTTTGGATCCTTAGAGCATGAGATATCCGAGCACAGAAGGGTAATTGAGGCCCAGATCAGGGAGCAGAGAGAACAAAGCGATGAAATCAGAGAGGCTCTGTCAATGATCACACAGCGCATAAGAAGAGACTCGAAGAAGGATGCACAGCAAATAGCTGAAGGTCAACTTGTGTTGGTCACTGAACCGATAAAATCAAGCGAGCGTTCCTTGGAAACAACCCCCGTCATCAAAGGGTCTACGAAAGGGCTTGAAATCAAGAAAGAAACCGTCACTACAAAGCCACAAACACACTTAGAGTTGAAATCATCTACAGTGTGCACGAATGACGTCAAAGCCCCACTATCTGATGTGGAGAAAGAAAGTTCTGAAAATCAATCAAATGGAATTCAGCCCTTTACTGATGTTGATGAAATAGATGATGACCACCGAAAATCCCAACATGACATCGAAAGAGTAGGAGGACTGTCAGATAGCAAACTAAGAGAGGAGAAACTCAAAGAAAAACCTCATGATCGGGAACATGATGCAGGGAAGGAGTCCAATGAAATTAGAAGGTGTTGTATGGCTAAATAATTAGATATGTGCGGTAAATAGAGCCTATATATGGTTACATACTAATAATGCCATTTTTCTGTTTACTGTTATCAATCATAGTTGTGGACCAGTTTACTGTCAATGTGTTTATATAAACTCTGCTGTGTTTATAGGTCTGCATGTCCCGGTGACAAGCCGATCCTCGAAGTAACAGGGAAGACAATGGAAGTACTAGCTGCTATCAAATCAGCCCTTGCCAAACATTATGAAGTGGGCAATATCTGGGAATGTGTGGAGAAGACTTTAGGAGAAGGTAATGTGAGATTTAATGAAGTAAACCTGTATTAGTAAGGATTTGGCATTGCACAGTGAATGTGTAATGTAAAGTGATGGAGTGACCGCATTGACATCCACAGTGTCGCCTTATGCCAATAACCATATTGGTTCCTTTTACAGAAGGTCCCCAGTATCCAAAAGCTAGGGGCGTCATGAATACCGTCCTATGCCTTGACACATCATCCAGTATTGGGGAAGAGGGGCTTAGGGCCATGAAGCATTATCTAGCAGCGTTTATTGATGGTAAGCATCTCATTGTCACTTTTGAAGGTGATGAAAATCAAATAAAAATAAATTAGAAAAAAACACTACCAGCAGCGCACTGTTGGGAGTCTTGGTGACATTCTTGTTTGAATGCTTGTTTTAGGAGGCGATGGATTTGTCCCAGGCTCTATTATTTAAAGCCACAATTTAGCTCGAATACTAAAACTGCGACATTAACAAACAAACACTAATGCCAGCAATGTATTGCATAATGTGTTTGAAATAATGTGTGTTTGAACCAGGCATAGAAGAAACTGCAGAGGAGTTGGAACAGGAGGAAAATATCGCTATTGTGACATTTGGAGGTGGGGCCTCAGCTTTACATCCCTTATCGAATGACTATGGCAGTCTGAGAGATGCAATAGGTGAGACGTCCGGGTCCGTTTTAGGAAGCATGTTGAAAGTGAAGCATGTTGGCATCATCACCACCATACACATGTTAAACTCAGTTAAACAGTAGTACAACTTGTATTACTGATGCACATGAAATACATCACAAACACCTGCATAAAAACAAACAAATAGTTCTGATCGTCTGTACCGGAAGGATGTGTGTATTGTTTCTCATTAAACATGCAGACAGTGTTTAAGTCTTGGTGAGAGGTTTAATAAATCAAAATCAGTAGCGACTACTGATTTGTGTGTCATCTATTGTTTCAGAGCGAGAAAATCGACTTCTATATGTAATCCTGTTTCAGAGGATATCCAGTGTGGCGGATCTTCTCCTCTACTTCAAGGACTGCTGGTCAGTGTTGCAGCACTAGCTATCGGTATGTCTTATTGTCTAACAAGCAGCTTGCGTCATGGCAGTGTAAGATTATATGTGTGAAGATAGTGAGATAGTTCATGGCTGCAGGATAATGTATATTTTTGTCACTAGGGCAGCACGGCGATAGTGTGGAGACATCTCAACCCTCGCGGATCATTGTGATGACAGACGGTCTGGTGTCCGGGGAAAGAGCATCTTCTGACATTGACACAAAAACCACATGTTTAACCCAGCAGGTACAATTCATTGTAATTAATAGTGAATTACAGATGATAACTAAGGTTAACCTGACACAAATGATGTTGCTGGTCTAACATGGTATCCTTACACATGTTACACATCACTACTATCTGAGATATAGCCACTTTTAATTGATGCGATGTGTCTAAATGGGTAATGAATGTATGTGGTAACATCATCGCTTACTTTTAGGACAAGAACCGGCTTGTGTCAACATTAAGGATTTTACGACCGAAGGAGAGCCTATGCAAGGAGTTCGACGCCATGGTGTGGATCCCTGTAGGCGATGCAAACACGGTAATTAGACATGTTCATTCCCTTCCTTCTCCAACAGAATGTGGTGAAACATGTTATAATGCGCACTGGTTGTTTCATACATGTTATATGTAGTGTATATTGACTTGACAGACATTTCTACAAGACATGGTCACTTGGTCAGATGGGAAGCTTTTGAATGGAAAGGAGATCCAAAGCCTCTGTCGCCATCGGGGTCATCAGGTAAAGTAGCATTTTCCATTATTCATCCCTAGGCATCAAGGATGGGAAGTTTGGGAAACATTGGACACCAAATCATAAGAAATGGGAGCTCAGCAGTGCGACATCGTACAACCAGAATATTGCTTCAGGATTATTTGTAATTCTCTAGGCGTATACTTTTGAACTATCCAGCATTCTGATGTTCTTTAAATGTAAGTACATATAGTTGCACAAGTATTGTGTATGGAAATATATGTCAGGGCATTTGCGTATTAGAATGGAAAATACAACTATCAATATCTTGGGCGTTAGATTGTTTTTGCAATTGCATGTCCATGACAGAGAGATCCAGGGAAGAGAGCGTCACCATTGTCGTCATTTGGGGGAGCACGAAATACCGAAGGAATGTCAGATACCAAAGAAGCAGATGAGGTATGTGTTCTGTGTACTGCTGCAGGGTGAATAGGTGCATCAGCTTAACTTTGTGATGAGAATTACAATGTGCTTTGCAGGTCTGATACTTTGCTTCCGGGATTAATCTATCCTCTAAGCACGGGTAGGGTTGCAAGGTTTGAAAATGAAAATATAGCTTAAAGGTTATTATCTATCCTTTAAATGTATACCAACTAAGGGTGATGTCAGTTGGATTAGTTTTCATCTATGTATATGTGTATATTTAACTACGTTGTATTTTGACTTGCCAGACATCTCTACAAGACACTGTCACTCGTTCGGATGGAAAGGGCTTAGAGGAAACGGAAATGCCAAGCGGCTCTACCCACCGGGACATTCAGGTAATTACAGTTGCACAAGGAGTAAATATGTGTCACGTCCATAGTATATGCTGATAGAGAATTCTCTATATAGGTGGTGTGTTTTTTATTATTGTATTAAAAAGTATCATCTCCATTGCAGAGCGATTCGGTGAACAGCGCGACATCCTTGTCATCCGAAGCTGGGAAAACATCGCCAACCTTAGCAGCTGAGAAGGTATGTCTTCCCAGCAGTGCTACATCGTCCAATCAGACTAAGTGCTGCCGCAGGATTACTGTTTGTGCGATTGCTGCATAAGATCAAGTTAATTCCCACTGGAATACCTGATCTTCTCGTGCTCTTTAAATGTACGTTACAAACTATATACATTTGCATAAGTATTAAATATGGAATAATGTCAGAGCGTCTGTGTATTCTGTATGACACAACCATCGATATCTTGTGTGTTAGATTGTTTTTGTAATTACATGTCCATGACAGATAGATCCAGGGAACAGTGCGCTACCACTGTCTTCATTTGGAGTAGCCCGAAATACCGAAACAATGTCAGATGCCAAAGAGGCGGATAAGGTGTGAGCTCTGCTAATTGTTGCATGGTGAATACGTGCATTATTGTTTATCATGCATTTGCTGTTCAAGAATAAGTCGCTTCTATTATGATATATGCAGTCAAAATTATCTAAACCATACGGACGACATTCTATGTATACTTTTTTCTTTACACCCATGTCAGAGTTGTTTAAGATATTTATTTGAAATACAGTCTATAGTATATTCCCATTCTGGATGGGTTTTAGATACAGTATTGAAGTGTTTGTTTAGTATGGGCCGGCCAGTAGGGTGGATGTCGGGGCACGTAGGAGTGACCGCAGAGCAACTGATGTGTTTGACAACATCTACGAGTCAGAAGGTCTACCCAGCCTTGGATCACGAGTAGTGAGGGGCGCGGACTGGAAGTGGGATGACCAGGACATGGGGGTGCCTGGCACTATTACCAACCATGGAGAAGGAAGTGAGAAATGTAGCACCCAACACTCATGTTACAAAGAAGGTTTAAATGTTCCCGAGAACATATCTTGCCCTGAGAAATGAGAAAAACAGTTTACTCCATATCTTCTGTTGAATATGAGCTCATGGCCCCATGAAAGACGGAATCAATAACACATTAATGACCCCCGTACATTCCTACTCCTAATATATCGTTATCGTACTTAAAGCTTTCATATTAGGCACCTTTAAGCTGAAATTGCTAACAACAATATTTATCATTTCCTGTTTGTAAAGGGAGATAAGTGTAGTGTGTCTTCTTGTAGCAACAAGCGGATGGAGAGTTAACTTACTCAGTGCATCTTTTCTAGAGTCTGTCTGGGTTGCGTGGGACCATGGCGAGTGCAACAGGTACAGGTATGGGCTAGGCGGACACTCCGACGTAAAGGTTGTGGACGACCAACCAAGGTCCCCGAGAAGAGACGGCCGAATTCAGATCGGAATGCAGGTTGAAAGAGGTAGGTTGTTACAGAGTGGCTACCCGTATTAAACACAACCGGATTTCAGCTGCAAGTATTGTTTAAGTTCATTCCTTTTCAGCGGGTTATTCACAGAGATATTCATTAAGTGGGAAGTTACAGGTATGATAAATACTGCTTGGGTAAAGATATATAACACTGACATGTCATGTAACGACTTCTACATGTCTGTCATCCAACCAGGCGCAGACTGGCAACAGAAGTATAATGATGACGATGGCGGATCTGGAAGCTACGGGACAGTGATTAGACGACAGGCTGACAGAGTGATGGTGAGATGTCATTTAGGCATCATCAATATACATGCTATTGTCTCTTCAGGCAAATTATATACTTCTGCTGATGTGAAGACAACTTTGAAGACCTTTTCGTCCTTTTCTTTTGTTTAAAGCTAAGGGCTGCAATATTCCAGTTATTTGACGGTGGCCTGTAAATAATCGAGTCTCGACCTGACACTCGGGGTACTGTGGCACGCAGTAAACCACGTCAACGATCCTAATCAGTCGATCCATTAGTCACCTCTTATCACAAGCAAAGGTTACTTGAAACCAAAAATACCCCTGAGTCCCCACTTGGCTTTTCTTTTACACCAGGGGCGGTCGGGTAGGCAAGTGGTTAAAGCGTTCGCTCGTCACGCCGAAGACCCGGGTTCCATTCCCGACATGGGTACATTGTGAAGCCCATTTCTGGTGTCCACCGCCGTGATATTGCTGGAATATTGCTAAAAGCGGCGTAAAACCATACTCACTCACTCACTCTTTTACACCAAGTACCTACTGTCATTGTTTTATTGTTTTATTGTAAATCGTTGTGTCTCTCCGTACGCAGGTGAAATGGAGAACGGGAAAGACGCGTGAATACAGATATGGACTCGGTGGCAAGTTTGATTTATGTGTTCGGTGAGTAGTATTTCCGGTTCCACATCCTCAGGATTGTACTACTTCAGAACATGCCAAAACTGCATTCCTACTCTTGTCATTCAATTTGGCAGAGATCCAGTTGCTTGTTTGGTGGAACAAACAACAAAACAACAGACCCTCGCTCAAAGTGACCAGCAACGCACTGCACCAACAGGTTTGTAAAAATTTTACATAATTGTTCAAAGAATTAGCTAACTTTTTAAAGAGTGAAACCCCGCTTATCGTGTCGATACCGTTTTACGTGAAATCGTGACAGACATGGAGTAATGTCCCTTGGTACATACGTATATGGCTTCAAACTAGTTTCCTTCTTTGCTGTCTACAGTAACATGACAGCCCACAATAATTAATATCGGTCGTAGGCTGTTGCATGATGACCAACCTGTCTCGTGTCACTAAAACAGCAAAATATCAGCCTGGATCCACCATCCAGATTTCGCAATAAACACTGTCAACAATGGTCACCGGAAGTTTCGGGGACAAATCATGGGAAGCTGGAGTCAAGATTCAAGATTCAAGATTCTTTATTCAGTATTTTGGGCCATGTGGACTAGAGTACAATTACAATTACAATAATTGCTGCGTCACGTGATGTCAGGACAATAAATACAAGTAGTCTTATTTCACATTAAATACATGATTTAAGTATAAGGCCAAAGCCTTTACAATGTCGATATTTTTTTAGTTGAGTAGATTACATAAAATGTGATTATCATGATGGACATTGGATAACCAGGGCAAATAGTGGTTTCTCACAGAAGAATATTTTGAACATATAAACAAAACATGAAATTCATCCTCTAATTGTCTCCCTTTACAGTGGGTACATAGATATAGACTCAAGTCTTCATTTGTATGTTTTGACTTTCGTAGCATGTTAATCTTAAAACCGTGTAGCGATATTCTGAATTTACAATATGCTCTCCTGAGTGTTTTATTCGTGAGATTATTGATGTAAAATTCTGGCTGTAAAAGTGATTTCAAATTTGCATAATGTGACAGATATTTTGATGCCACTCTTGAGAATACATATCACTCAGCCTTTGTTTTATTTTGAGTAAAAATAGATTTTCATCGCCAATATGTTGAGATATCCATACAAATGAAAAGCCTGAAGAAAACAAAATATATCTTACATCAGACACCCAGGTGTGTTTATCATTTTCATCTAACTGTTTAAGTAGATTGTAACATTGTTTTGGATATCGACATAGATTCATACGTAGCAATCTCAACCAGTATTTAAGTACCCTTATTTTGCTAAACACGAACATATTTAATCGCCCAGTTTCACCAAGAATAGCTTTATTAGAGGCATATTTTCCGATACAAAGATAATTTTTAAAATAGGACGTATGTACTTTTTCTTTACATTCATAATATTTTGCCCCCCAGATTTCAGCCCCATAAAGTAATATAGGAGCAATCTTACAATCAAACATTGTACACGCTGTTTCGAATGTTATATAGCTATTTCTTTTGAAAGCATGATAAATGGCTCTAGTGGCTTTAGAAGCCTGTGCTGCTAGGCTTTTACAGGCCATTGACCAGATTAGCCTTGAGGAGAAAGTTACTCCAAGATACTTGTAGTAAGTGACAAGTTTTACATTTATAGAACCATAGAACCATTTTTCATTTTTTCGTATAATACCACCGTTTCGGAATACAATTATTTTTGTTTTATCAAGATTCACACTAAGGCCCCAGGTAATGCAAAATTTTCTTAAGATATCTAATTGTCTTTGTAGACCAATAATTGTATATGAGAACATAGTCACATCGTCGGCAAAAAGTAGCAGCATATCTTCAATACTTTCTGAAACAAACACACCATGACAGCACGTTTTATAAATGCCAGTTACAAGCTCATTAATAAAGAAGATAAACAGAAGTGGGCTTAAGATACAGCCTTGTCCTACACCGGAGCTAGTTGTAAACAAATCTGTTCTACCTTTGTCTGTTTTTACACAAGCCTTAACAGCAGAATACATACTAGCTAAGACAGTATACAACTTGCCATGGTAACCTTTATGTAAAAGAGCATATATAATATTTTTTTTCCTTTCCACAAAGTCAAAGGCTTTCTTGAAATCAATGAAAGCACAATAAAATCGCCCCCCTCGCTTTGTTAAATATTTAGTACAAGGGCCTGGAGTGTGAAAATGTTGTCTGTTACTGAATAGTTGGATCTGAATCCAGCTTGTGCTTCATGTATTAAATCGTTTATATCCATCCATGATAGTAGTCTTTTTTCAAGTATTGACGTGAATAATTTCCCATTTGCATTTAGCAGGGGTAATCCTCTATAATTGTTGGGGTCAGAGGTAACACCAGATTTATGTATATGTATTATAAGTCCAATGTTCCATGCTTCAGGAAATATACCGGTATCTAATATTTTATTAAATAAAGGTCTCAAGTATTTAATAAGAATTGTTTCTGAAAGTTTAAAAAATTCTGGAGGGATTCCATCTTCACCAGTAGATTTCCCGAGTTTTAATCTTTTTAACGCTTCAGCTACTTCTTCATCAGTAATAATATCTGATAACAACTCATCTGTAATGGGTAAGCTATCACAATTATCACAAGAGTGACTGTCAATGAATTCATTTACAAGTACATTAAAATCTTCATTGTTAGAGTTTAACAAATTTTTAAAATATAACTGAAGAGCATCAGGAGATATTGCACATTTAGAGTGTTTGCTACATAAAACCCGTTTAAGGGTGTTCCAAAATGTTTTACATTTACCATGTTTTGCAGCATCTTTCAAATCTTCAACTATTTTACAATCAAATTGTTTCTTTTTCTGACCACAGCATATTTTCAATTTTCTTTTGGCTGTAACGTATTTTTGCAAATTTTCATTACATTTGAACTGCTTAAATAAATCAAGATACCTATATTTTTCTTTTTTTCAGTTGAGTACATTCATGGTCAAACCAAATTGGTTGACTTCTGGATTTATTGTTAAATAGTGTACAAAAACCTCCAGAAGAACAAGCAATGTGGATCAGTATATCTCCCAATGTCTTGACTGCAGTATTTACATCTGTTTGTAAAGCTGTGTAAAATTCGTCAAATATATCAGTAGACTGAAGCTGGAGTCAATTCCATGTAAAGATTGTGGATAAAAAAAGGCAATAAAATATGTCATCTTTCATTTAATCTGTCAAAAGTAACAAAACAGCCCATTAAAACAGGGTACTACATTCTCTTATTTTCCGTCCGGGTCATTCTTTGGTCAACGTAGGGGAGACAACTATGGAGGCTGGGGTCATATGGACGTTGTCGAACAGATCGCCCATAAGCCTGGGTTTCATAACTAACGGGATTTCATTGCATGATGCGAATAATACTCATACGTGTATATGTTTCCGATGGCGGCTTTAATATTCATTGCAGACGGAGTGCCGAAGAAAAAAGGGGCAAGTGACAGAAACAGGGCAAGGCATGTGTGGCAGTGGCTGAATGGTGATGGTGTATGGATAACGTATTCTGATGAGCACAATATCAAACTCAGTAGCTCATATGAAAATAAAAAGGATGGACATTGCATGATCGAAAAGGATGGTAAAAGGTAGGTAGTGTTTGTACCTTTGTATGTATTGATTATCCGATGTATTCACCATCACAACAAAAATTCAAAGAACACGCAAAAAATATCAAACATTCAAGGGAAGATAAAAGTCATAAAGTTTACTTGTTTCAATTCTGTTCTATTCGTTTCTAAGGGACTGGTCATTTATCATAGGGGAGGTGGGGGCGGCGAGATTCGGGTTTTGGGAACTTGAAAATACGACACTGTTCAATTGTTTTCAAATAATTCATTTTTTATTTTTATTTTTTTTGTTTTTGTTTTTGTTTTTGTTTTTGTTTTTTTGTTTTTTTTGTGGGGGGTCCGGTGCTTTGCTGATGAACTCTCATAGATAATATTGCATCTTCACCACTGTTATGGGCAATTTTGGCATAATTTTGTTTGATATTAATTGTTGTACATCGCCCCCCCCCCCCCCCCCCCCCCCCCAATATTCCGGGGGCAGGGGTCACCTAGTCGTCTAAGGCACCGCGATTCGCTGTTCAGAGTTGCGTCCTTTGGACACGCCAGGAACCTATGGTTGTGGGTTCTAATCCCGGTTCGCCCCTAAAATGTTTCTAGGTTTGTCAGCACCATACCCGTGTTTGTGGGTTTCACCGAAGTGGTAAATGTCTGAGACCTGCATCACTTCGGGCTTTCCTCCCACATTAAGCTGATACGCCGCGATATAACTGGAATACTGTTAAAAGCGGCGTTAAACCCAACTCACTCATTCACTCACTCACCAATATTTCATTTGTATCACGAAACACTCTAAAACATTCAATCTGGACCAGACACATATTTTGATTTGAAGTGTGGTCAATCTGCGTCCGTCCTTTTCAGATTCCTCGTATTATTCGAGCATTCTGTAGAAAAATCACTGACAGACAGATTCACGAGGAAGGTGCGAAAATATCCGATTGGTAAGTGATAACAGTAACCCTATTGCAAATAGTGGAAGTGATTTACTGAATTTGTTGAAGTGGTTTTACTGATTGAAAAAAAATATTCATTAATGTCTTCAATCAAAATGTTAAATGACCATCTAGTGGATAGAGTGTCTGCCGGGAGAGCGAAAGACCGTGGGTTCGATCCCAGGGCGCCTCATACCAAAAGACGTTAAATGATGATACTTGTTTTTACCCTGCCTGGCGCGCGGCATGAAGGGGCTAAAACAAGGACAGGTAGGCTCGGAATCAGGCTACTGTGTCAGATTGGGGTATCCAACTGCCGCATGGTATCTCAGTGGGCTATTACTATAAAATTGGCATCAGTCCGGATTAGTACAACTAGACACACACAGGCACGCACGCACACTCGCAGACACCAACACGCGTTGCACGTCGCTATATAAGTGCAATAATCATGACCGCGACGTTAAACCCCATTTCACCTTTCACCACCTCAAAATGTTGTCTTACATTGCAGATTAAAGAAAGAAGCTACACACTTGTCCGTATCTTTTTCTGTGTTTCCCATCTCTCGCCCGCCCTGAATTGTCATCCGACGTGAAACAATAAAAAGGTTTCTTATCTCGGTTTTCCCCGCCTATGTAGAAATTTATGCCCCGAGGAGATAAAAAAAGATACTCCTACCATTGCACATTCATTAAAACCAAGTTCATATTTATCTTTCTTCGGCTATATTCATTAAAAATTTCGAAGCAAAGCGATTCGATCTTCATAATGAATTAATTTAAAGACTATTACCAGTTATAGCTAAAATGGATAGAATTATCACATTATCACAATTATCACCCGCATGTTATCAGAAATCAGCGGGCCACAGTAACTTGATCATGCCCTCATATTGCTTGACGATGGGCCATTATCACGCCCGTTGTTAGGTTACGTCATAGGGTAGGGATAGGTGACGTCCCGTTCAATAGTGACGTCTTCTTGATTGTTCTATGACGTTTCCATTTTTATAAAAGTCGGTCAGTGACATTCGTGTTGATTGCAGTAAATGTTTCAAAACCGATATTGTTGTTTCTTTTTATTTGATAACAATCCATCATCCATTTATCTTATCATCCATTTTAGCTATAATAACGGTAACGCTCTTTTTCAGGGCATAATCATTTACAGAAGCCCTCGGTCTTTTCAACTGCCTTCCTGAGACGGGGAGTTAATGTAAGACCTTGGGCTTCTGCAAATGATAATGCCCTGAAAAATAGCGTTACCCTCATAATGTTCTAAACTTCAAAAGTTTATTACATGCGTTAATCAATCAGTGAAAACCAAGTTTTTATTTTTATATTTATTTTTTTCGTCCGCCCACTCTCCTGCTGGTTAAGGTTGGAGATGAGAAACACATAAAAAAGTCTGGATGGCCTAAGCAAGATGACAGAGGTATTGATCCCCGATCGAAGTGACAGTCCGTGTTGTTTACCCTATACGCTGGCTTGTCTGTGCTCCTTACACTGACACGAGGAGAATGTAATATACCGTGTTGTGTTTCAAATACCACTGACAGATGAGTTACATGTGTTACCTCCCCTGGTGTACATTATACTTCAACATGTGTGTTTCGAAGGATTCCATCGCTCCTTTATATAAGTAAAATTGTGTATGTACTATTAAGTTTCTATGTATTTCTGAATGGTGTAGCACCTATTAGTCGTATGAAGCTCGATATAAGATGTATGTGTTTTCAAATTTGACTACTCACCCTATCCAGGGCAAATTTTGTGTTTGTGAACACAACACTCTCTGCCAGTAATCGTTAAGTCGTGATGTATATGCTTCATCTTTATAATTTCAAAACTGGAATCTGCTGTTTGATTATGCATGCTGTTAATAACATTTTATTACTTGATACGATGAAATTTATTTGAATAAATACAATAAAATATTATCCATGAATCAGATTCATTGTTTTAGACATGTACACATGTAAAAACTTTCTATACGGTACATACACATGCGATAATCAGAGCGTACCATTGCTGATTCATAAAGCTCATTCAGCTACGTTTCTCTAGGCCAGACAAGGAATCAAATTACCTTCTATGATGACATAGTTGTTTCGATAACATGGTTGTTTGTTTGTTAATCATGCCGATCTAAAGTAGCCCAGAAATGACATCTGTGAATCCTCTTTTGTTTCAAATAAATACACATCACGATAATTCACTTGACCCCTGAAGCCCTTCTGATGGGGCGGCCATGTAAGCCTCCGCAGTATTGGTAGTACATGAGAAATTAGCTTATTGAACATATTGTAGTCATTATTCACACTTGCATGTAGAAAATTGAAAAAGAGTAATAATGAAAACGTGGAAAGCTGTTGACGGGTTTATTTCCACAACTAATTGTACCAATAGATGACAAAAAAAGATCACATAAGCTCAATCTGCACTGACAAAGATCGCTGATTAATTAAATCAGAGAAAATACACAGGCGGCTTAGGTAAGCAACTGTATTACAGTAATAAAATGACAGAAGCTAAAACAACACTTTGACACGGGGGGGGGGGGGGGGGTAAAGACACAGGATCATTATCGGTATCATTAAAGATTTACAACAAGCTATGTACAACTATTGAGGAAGCAAAAATGACCATAAACATCATTTATAGTTACAAAACACATTGTGAATACACGAATAAGGTGGCGAACCTATAGGAGATACCAAACATCAAGTCGATACATGGTAAGACTGTCATTCAACCACAAGAGAATGAAATAGTCGGGTCACTAATTCTCTAACACAGAAAGCAACGACACAGTAGAACGACGTGACAAGGGTAGTTTAATAACCCGGTGACAGCAGGTGCAAATCCGAACATTATTAAACTTTCTATTTGCAGACAGTCAAAAACACCCAATGTGAAAGTTTCCAAGTCCAAGCCACTCAATACTCAAGCTTGCTTGTATATACTCCATGACGAAGTCAGCTTCTAGAATGAGAGCGAAGAGTTGATAGTGCATGTATAAAGTACCAGAAAACACTTTTTCAATCTTATTTAGTCGTTGTCTTCCTATTGTTTCTTTGGCTTCTTTGCGTCTTCAAACATTTGAGATCTGATTTTTGTAATAATGTCATTTTTCTTTTTATACCACTCCAACGTTGGGTTTGCTTTTTCGTGATATTTCTCGTAAATAGAAGATTCGGGTCTCGCAATCAAACAGATAACTCGTCGTTTTTCAATGCATGCATCTGTGAAGACTTTGTATGATTTAACAGTTGTTTCCTTTTTGGAAGAGCAGAGGAAGAGGCGGATCTGCAACTCGATACTCTGCCACGCCGCGCCTGCTTCGTTGTACTGCTTCTGTTTCTGATTCCATTCGTCAAGAATGTACGTGCTTCCTAGTTTGTAGGCGGTCGATGCTGTCGTAACAGAAGCAAGGATTCCCTTGGCTAAAGCTGCATAGTTATCCGTCGCCAGGGGAATGGACTGAGATAACTGAGCTGCAGCCAGTCCTGTAGCAATACTGGCTAGTACCATCCCATAGTTGTAATACGTTTCATATTTCCTCGATTGTTCGTAGAACATGCTCGCTGAAACCATGCTACGAATCTGCAGGTCTTCTAAGATCGTGATGTAGCACTGCTTCTCCGTTTGATGAGCCTCATAATCTTTCTCTTGTGGTGAACAGCGTGAACTCAACCTGTTGGAAAACAAAATTGGCAAAAACAAAGACGCACTTTGTTCAGCTTCTTTTACTTCAATAACAATTACGTCTTATTGATGAGGACATTGTTTAACAGAAAACTCTGGCATTAATGTTTTGGTATGGATATCCATGCATAGTAACTGTGTGATGTTTTAAATTTTGAATAAATTATCTGAAATTGTGCAATATTTATCCTCGTACTTGTCTTTACGAAACTGACCATCTGCTTGCCTTTAGGGTAGGGAGATGTCAGTCAACCATATTGCTCTCCCATTATATCATAAATGCTATTAGATATTTGTACCGTTTCACGTCTGTGAAACTCTTTGTAACGAATGTATTATTATCTCGCGAACACCTGGTGTTATCACTGGTTCTCAATGGTCCATTCATATAATTTTCACATCTAATTTTCCCTTTACGCCAAATAGAATCTGTTTCGTCGGATAATCAAGACTGGTTAATCTCTTGCATTGACGTTTTATATTTACTGAACTGGGTCAATGTTTCTGCTCGTTGACTGAAGTCCCCGAGTTTCATCATAAGCTCAGTAGCATTTATCTTTGCTGAGTCGACTACGAAAGGAATGTTCGAGCCGAGACAAAAAAAACTGACCCTATTGTGATGCAAAACGAATATACTTCTTGAACGGTTAACTTAACGTGTCAGACGTTATTCAAATTTAACTTATCATTTTTATTAGTTTCAACAAAGTCAGTATGGAGTTTCTGGTTTATCCAATACAGAAGGGTTAGCCTGCCGCACGGGCGACATCCATCATAAACACATGCAAAGACAAGTCAATTGTTCACCTGAAAAACAATATGGAAACATGTCGTACAAGTAAAAAAAAGGGGCTTGCATCGGACATTATTAAAATAATAATACAAACCTAAAGGACCTCAAATAGACAAAACATATGTGCAACAAAACCTTACTCGCCAATGCTCGCTAAATACAATGTTTATTCCTAATGCAGGATATTTACTATCCCCAAACGCACTCGCGTGATAACCTCTATATATATCAACCACGTTATATAATAGATTAGGGAGTATCTTGGTTTCTTTACATGAACACAATTGTCCAGGAAATTAGACAACAATGCCTTAACTTATCTGTATAAAAACACCCGCTCAGGCCACACATGACGTTCATTACTTGTGCAAATGTGTTGCAGGCTGTGGGCGATGAGCATGTGGCGAAAAGATGTCATAAAACAATTATGTCATTTAGAAGAAACCAAACTCAGCTCAGATCGATTGCACATGCCTAACAACACTGCCAGCTCACTGGTACGTGTCGACCTGACTCTTCTGTGTCGTTAAGAAGAGGTGGGACCATTGTGAGGAAGGCTGGACTAACGACATCCTAACGTACCGTTATACTGATGTACTGGAGTAACACCGCAAACATAGCTCACATCCGCCATCGACATGTTACACCACGTACACGACAAACACGTCACTCAGTCCTACATCTGTAAATCTTTGTGCATCCATTTTTCATCTTCTCATTCCCTTACCAGTGTTCTGAATGTATGAAACGTTGATACCCACCTTGATCCCATGTTTGGGGACTTTCAGCTTGATTTTAGTATGGCTTGTATCCGACGTCGATGTTTTATAGGACTGGTGTGAACTTGATTTTGTCGCTGTGTCAATGCATCAGTACACTCCGTTTTGGGGCATGTTTCATCTTATCTCAATGCTACTCGATTGCTCGGTTACTTTCTCTTTACTGTCGTCACATATTACACATTTATATTATGACAACCCAATTACAAGTTTAGTCTGCTCTTATAAGCATGGGCCACTGGAAACCTAGAATGCACCAGGATCCCAAGGCTGAAATGTTTTCATATATTCCTCGCAGGACGTAATTCGGCATACCCTAAATGCATAATTGTTTGTACGATTCCGACTTATATCATGAGCAAGTGTTTATGATTTGTTTGTTGTTTAACGCCGCACTTAGCAATATTTCAACTCTTCGAGTCAGGACCAGACAATCCAGTGACTGACATCATGAGCATCCATCTACGCAATCACTATCAAATAGTGATGAAACTAGGTGTTCGGGAAAAGGTGGGTTTAGCCTGCCGCACCGGCGACACCATTCATAAACACATGCAAAGACAAATCAATTGTTCACCTGGAAAACAACACGGAAACATGTGGTACAAGTAAAAATAGGGACTTGCATCGGACATTATTTGTGTCATTGATGCGTCAAATTTAGAAATTTCATCCTAAAATTTCAACCATGTCTACCATAAAACGTTTTGAAAGCTTTACTGAGACCTTGAAACTTGAAACGTTTGAGCAAGAGTCGTATGACGCTCTTTGAAGTCTTCGTCGAAAGAGCATGCTCGATTGTACCTCAAAAGTCGTGAAATGTAGACACCAGAGGCAGGCATCTGTAATTACGCTCAAAAACGTGTACACAACTTGAACATTCACTTTGCAAAAACACTATTTGCACACGTCAGTAACTTTATGTCTGCGTTAGATGTCCCTACTCCATCCGTGTTTAATTTAAGGAGACCTAGATAAGTGTAGAAAATACATAGAAAACATATACTTCTGGCCCTTTACAGAGCCTGCTGATTATAACAAATAACCATTAAAGGAGGAGATTTTAAATCCACCCATTGGTCAGTTAAGGTTTATATGAGCTTTCATGAGGTGCTAGTTTTTGAAATGTCTAAGACATGAGTGGCCCAATATGTCTGAGATAAATTCCAAATATGGTATAATGGTCTTTGCGGTAGCCCAGATTAGTGTCGATATAAACAGGCGCCGTAGAGGGGACCAAAACGTGGCTTTAATACTTAAAATCGCAAGTGTAATACATATGATTCAATGAAGAACAAGCAGGTTCAGACATGTTACTCTACCACTGACCATATTTGCAATTTTTTTGTTATGATCCAGAAGGATCTTAAATCATGAAGTCATAACGTTCTTGAAGCTTATGTGCATTTTGCAGAAAAGGTTTTGCTTCAAGACTGACCAAAATCTATTTTGTAATGGGTTCGGTTTCGAGTGGTTGGGAATATGTTCAGCATTATCAATGTATTCAAAGATACAAGGAGCAATATTTTCCGAGTTATTTCAATATACGGCGTATATAAAAACAATTAAAGTATGTTTGAAAACTAGTTTTCTATTATAACATTGAATAATTTATGTGATTATGTAAATACCATTTTTGGTTTAGGATTTTCTAAAGCTACATGTGAAATGAGGAAGATGTGTGTCCATCGATACTTTACAACAATGCCCCTTAAGATATTAAGCTCGAAAAGGAAGTATGAACTGAAGTATGGCACAATATTTGACTTCGACGACATGATATATGTGATCTATGTGGGCTGTTTGGAGTTTTGTTGGAGACAGATTTTTTGTTTCCGTCACTACATTATAACACACAGTTATATTCTCTGACTGGGGGAGCAGAACAATTGTTTTCACAACCCATTATTTCAGGACATCCGGCATCCCGTGGCAAAATTATATTTATCACGAAAATCCCAAAATTTATTACGCACAAATCGGAGTTTCATAGATGCAATATATTTCCTTATACAAGATAGCTAATTCGCCATGAATCGCAAAGAACAATGAAGAACGATGCGTTCTCTCATGGTTTATTCTCCCTGTAGTGCTTTATTGTACGATAACAAACGACCACGAGTAGTTTATATCTTACATTAACATGGATCCCAGATATAATAAATACATATGGTTGGCAAATGTGACTAGATGTCATAAACACAAAAACAATCATTGTATTTCTACTCAAGATTGACAGAACTTTAATCTTGGCTTGAACTTCAAAACATAAGCATGATTCTTCGTACCCACTCGGCGACATCCTCAAAGATTATCGACTGATCACTGTGTCATCGTGACTGAAACGCCTGGCGACAGGACCCTGGGCCGATTACCACATTGTGCATACTACATAATGTGCTTGCGGGAAGTATACCGATTAGTCCGCGTACGTGCTTCCTATATTTAGATCCAGCTCATACAAAATTAGGTCATTTCATTTCTGTGAAAACGAAAGTGGATGCACTGGTTGTTTGATGAACTGAAAACATTGCTGTTAGTGTTAGTGTGATAATACGGAATATATGCTTAATCAAGTAAGTAGTTGTATCTAGAACTCTGTTATCGTCTTTTCTTGTAAGTTATATTCAGTATAATATCACGTAGATGTGTCAGATTGCTCTCAACTCATCAACGATCCCGGTCAGGTTTTCATAATTCATTGCTACCCACTGTTAACCCATATGCCAACATGTTTCACAACGATATTCTCTGTAATACCTCTCGAACTAGCATCAAGTATATATGTTACTGTTTTGCCATAGCTTATTAATTTCTGGCCGTCTCGTGTCAAGCGGGTATATCCTGTACTATTCCCTTGAAATTATAGCACCGGAGTTTAACCATGAATATCCGGGTCACAAACGCAGTAATGACATGTCTATTTTATAGTATCGTCCAGACTGGTTTCGATTCAAATGCTAACAAGTTTCCTTACGATAATTCCTGTAATACATCTTAAACTGGCATGAAGTATAAGTGTAACAGTTTCGCTATACCTAATTAATTACAGGCCGATGCGTGCCAAGGGAGTGTATCTTTTATCATCCCGTTGTCTTATATCAGTTTAACCATGAATACCAGTGACTGTGTCACGAACGCGGTGATGACGTGTCTCCAGATATAGCATCGTCGAGACTTGTTTCGATTCAAATACAATGCAAAATCTCATTTCACCAGCTATCAACGAATGCCCGTTAGTCCCGTCAAAGATTACATCCCACAGATATACATAAATGATCAGGTAACATGCATTAAAATGATAATTGTCAGCCGATACGATATGATGTTGCTTTTCGCAGACCAATATCAATATCAGACTATATCAATTGTTATCATATTTCTTTTCATTCAGACACATAATACATATCTTTGTTTACATTCAATCTATATTCGATTACATAACATTCTCAATGAATAACTAATATATTAATAAACAGAATACTAGTTAATATATAACAAATATAGTAATGATTTATAAATAATTAGTAGTAGTAGTAGTAGTAGTAGTAGTAGTAGTAGTAGTAGTAGTAGTGGTAGTAGTAGTACTTTTAGAACTAGTAATAGTGGTAGTTGGTGGGTTGGTTGTTTTACGCCACACTCAGCAATAAATATTCCAGCTATATGACGGCGGTCTGCAAATAATCAGACAATCCAGTGATTGATATCATGGGCATAGATCCACGCAATTGGGATCGATGACATGCTTCAAACAAAGTCAGTGAGCCTGACCACCCGATCCCGTTAGTCGGCTCTTACCACAAAGATAGTTGCCTTTTACGGCAAGCATGGGTTGCTGAAGACCTATTTTAACCCGGATTTTCACGGTAGTATCATATTGTGGCATATGGTTATATGTAGGAATATAAATGAATTTATGAAATTGTTTGTGTGTTTTTTTTATTTGTATACATGTTTATACTTTTCAAGTCATTTGTCTGCTGTTGGATTTTATTAATTGAGGGATATGCATTACAAGCTTGGGACAAACATCACACTAGACACTAGAGGCGGCAGATGACCTCACCATGGAAAGGTTACTGAAAGAGAGAGAGGATTCCAGAAAGATGACAAACACGTGGGATGGCACCAAGACTTTAGTATTTCGTGAGGTTGAAGATACCAGAACTAGAACACTAAAACAGTCCACGGAGATAGTCGATATCACACTCAGTCGCCATGTTCTGCATCAAATTGGTGCAAAAGGAAAGCCTGAGGGTATGTATTTCAAATCTGAAACAAATCGTGTATATTCCGGGTCTTTAAACATCAATACATTGCCTATTGTCCACATGAAGTTCTTTCTTAACTCTATTTTATTAAGCATGTGCATGCATTTCACCCAGACAGTGTGACTGGAATATTGCAATATGAACAACATGCATTCTCTCGCTGATTCAATAAGTATGTAAGTATTATTTCAGACCACCAAGAGCTAATCCGTCTGACCTGGGACAGTGTTAACGATAGTTCTTGTAACCGCTCGTCTTATGAAACCGTTCAGCGTGATCAGAACCTACTCGAGAAGATCGTTCAATGTCTCTGTGAAAACAATTTCAGCACCCTTCGCCAACTATGTTGCACATTTTACAACACATATACAACCAAGCTGACTTGCATCAAGATCAACCCGCTGACCTTCACCTTCCTTCATCAGAATGGGCAAGGTATTGAAGAAATGAGAAACCTCGGACCAGAACTGGCAAGCGTTTTGAAAAAACAACTTTCAGAAATCCTCCCTGAAACTGATGATGTTAAACTTAACCTTCAGTTCTGTAGTGATGACACTGGATCAAGAAAGTATCGCATGCAGATATCAGGAGGTAGAGTAATTAACAAATTAGTATCACTTCAATATGGGATATATATATATATATATATATGTGGACATCCAATGTCCCAGATCTTTGGCTATATTGTGTATATGTGTAAGGGCTTAAACAAATTCATATGGAAAATATCCTACTTTCCTAATTCCCTTTCAGAAAGTGGAACAGAAAGGCGTTTTTCTCAGATAGAGAAACAGATCGAGTCATTGAGATCTATGTTTGAGGAGTGGACTGTGCAGCAGAGAACCCCTGTCGCAAGGACACCGTCACGTACTTCTGCGCCCGTTGTCAGTCAACATGAAGAAAGAGACTCAGGAAATCAAAATCATGTTCCTGGTCCGGCAGCATCCTCTGACAGGACATCTGAGAAATACGAGGGAGCGGCAGAAGGAAAACAGAACACACAGGAGACCATTATAGCAACCGTTACAACAGCACAAACTCCACCTTCAGTTGATCAGTATCGACAAGTAAACCGAACGTTTGGAATAACGGGCAACAGCTCAGATGTAGACAACTCAGAGGTGAACTCAGATGTTAAGAGGGTACTGCATCATGTAGTCGACCCTAATCACGTAGAGGACAAACCAGGGGTCACACAGCTTCCTGATTTTGAGTACGTATATGCTAAACCTTAGTACTTAGTAGCGATCGTGTGTAAACAAACCGATTGTCATGTTATTTCAAAATATAAGATAGCTAATAGATAGATTAATAGCAAAGAACAATGAAGAGCGAAGCGTGGTTTATTTCACGATAAAACATTGTTCTACCATGACATCATTTCTGGAGATACGAACATGCGCTCGCAATTTGATGACGTAAATATTACGACGTTATTTTCTAGAGGGAAGTGTCTATTGAATTGTTCCCCACAGATGTAGCTCGACAGCGCAGATGAACGCAATTGTCAAACGATCGCACCCAAAGGTGAGAGAAATATGACACTGCGCCCCTCTTTTTTTGTTCTCCCTGCAGTGTTTTATTGTAGGATTAACAACTCCCACTCGTCGTGTATTTCTTGAATATACGTACTTTCAGTTGATACTGATCTTGTCTCAAGGTTGTCAGCGACCGGTGGATACGGTGAAACTCCGGGTGTTTTAGGCATGAAAAATATTAAAGTTGTTGAAGATCTACCATCTGCCACAACAACAGCAGGAAATCTCACAACACCCCAGCAATGCCTTACCTATGATGGGAGGAGGGCAGAAAGCAGCAGACAGAATAGGATTAAACGTATGTAGCGGTTCTTCCCTCGACCTGTCTCCCACATACCTGTAGTACATGGCAGCTTACAATACTTGTTGTAAAGTTACATACTCAGCACTTGTTCGTAGAGTTGTAGTTAAATCAGATCCAGTTGCATTTGTTGTGAAAATATGTATTTCGTTCTCTTATACAATCAGTGAACCCAGCGCCACCCAAGGCAAAAGGTCTAGATACCATCTTGTGTCTTGATGCATCCTCAAGTATGGGAACCGATGGATTTAAGGAAATGAAGAGGATCGCTTGTAGCTTCATTGATGGTAATAATTCTCACAAGTCAATTTCGTATGTAACAAATGTTATATTTGGGATAACACTTTCTGAGTAAAGTATAGATTCTCGTACTTTTTTTGGGTTGAGTCCCGTCCGGGATTCGAAACCACAGTGCCAGAGTGAGTGAGAGGCACCATGTGTAAATTGGCACTGCTCCGAAAGCTATGAACACACAATGCCAAGAAAGTGGTCAAATGTAACAGATGTTATATTTGGGATAACACTTTCTAAATGGCATTGTGTGTTCAAAGTACAGTCAGTTTTAGTAGTTGTCCTCCCTGTTTGGCCTATCACTCAGCAAGACGAGAATTGAACTTATGATCATTCATACAATCAAGGTTTGACGAACAGTTTGCCCATGTCTGTTCTCCACGGTACATATACTATAACATATGTACTGACACATTCCCTGTTAAATGTATTATACAAAGGCAGGACTGACCTGTTCTCACTTCCTTCTTCTGGCAGTGTCTCTATTCTCAGTGTGTATGTTGTTGTCATGCTCTGGTTCATACAGAGGGTGGCATCTCCGTACAAAGGACAAGACAGTGTCTACATTTCCACACACAGAAAACCATGTTACTCTCAAAGTGGTTAACTTCAGGTGACAGTTTGAAATGAAGTTTTAAAGATAGGACATGCCTCGCTATTGCAGGGTTGGACGACATCACATCCCAGTACGAGATAGAGGAGAACGTTGCTGTGGTGTCTTTTGGAGGAACTCCGCGGGTTGAGCATCATCTCAGCAATGACTACGGGAGCATCATAACTGCTATCGGTAGGTAGAGGAACGCACACATATACACATCGCTCATACATTGCTTAGCATTTGAGGTAGACCAATGAATTGTGGTCATTTATCTGTGATCTCCGAAATGACAAAAGATGAGAAACCGGAGGCTTCGTACCAGTGCTTTTGTATTATTTGAAATTTCATGAACGCCTGGGGTTGCCTATTAAAATACATAAGTTTCATGAAGAATGTTTCAGGTGTATCGTGATCATTGTGCACATTGTAGGACACGTAAAATATAACAGTTTCTTATTTTCAGAAAATATTGTATTTGGTGGTAGATCGCCGCTTTTTGAAGCACTCAAAGAATGTCTGCAGGCGCTCAGTGGCCGAGGTAAGATCTTTGTTTAAAGCTGTGGTTTCCAATCCCAGACTCTCTCCGTCAACACCTTATCCATGTCAGTGCGTTTAACCAAATGCCTCATTTTTGCCTCTTCTCCAACATAAAACGGATATACATTCAGTGGGGTGTTAAACCCAACTCACTCACTTACTAACTATTTCAAAGGCATTACAAATCTTCTGCTAGCGTATCCGTGACATGTGGACTTTTCCTTCAGGGGGCTCCTTCAGTATATCCGGAGTTCATCGCGTCCAACCACGCCTCATTATCATTACTGATGGGAAGGCGTCTGATGATAGAGCTGTTGGAGACGATGCAGAAACTATCGATGACAACGTATGCCAATTCTAAATACTAGCTGTAATCTAGAGCTACTGAAGATCAGTCCTGTCTGAGATTAGATTTACTTTATACACTTATTACCACCATATGAATGAATGAATGGATGAACGAACGAACGAACGAACGAACGAACGAACGAACGAACGAACGGGTGAATGAATGAATGAACCCGAAGATCTTACATAGGCAAATACATCATTTACAATACATTATTTAGATTACCTGAGTGAGTGAGTGAGTTTGGTTTAACGCCGCTTTTAACAGTATTCCAGTTATATCGCGGCGTGTCAGCGGCGTGGGAGGAAAGCCCGAAGTGATGCAGGTCTCAGGCGTTTACCACTTCGGTGAAACCCACGAGCACGGGTATGGTGCTGACAACCTAGAAACATAATCGGGGCGAACCGGAAATCGAACCCACAATCAGAAGTTTCTGGCGTCCCCAAGGGACGCAACTCTGCACAGCGAATCGCGGCGCCTAGGACGACTGGGCCACCCGTGCCCCCAGATGACCTGAGTATGTACAATAAAACCATTGCTCATACTGAGAAACTGCTGATCAATACACCATGTACAATTTGTGAGCAGTAGGGTATATGTGTCTCGTAGATATACATGAGGTATTTCTTCAAATTCCATATAAAGTGGCAGAAAGACTATATCATAATCAGTTTCGTCAGTTAAGTCATGAACATCTCAACCTAGAAACAATGAAAGCATATCTATTTTCGGATATACATCAACATCACGACATGCAAAAATGAATTCTGTCAGACATAAAAAAGCACAAAGCAAAATACTATGGCAATAGTCCTAGCAATATCTAATAATGGTTACATTCTTTCGACACTTTTGCTCTTGATCCGATTTTTATACAAAGAGGAAGGGGCTGTCTTAAATGTGAACATTAATGGTTCTGTGAAAGATCTGTTCTATATGCTGGTCTGTCTCTCTCTCCAAACGTCTGATTACAATAGCTAGCCACTATCAGTATATTCTTTGATATAGTTGTCTAAATGTTACTTATAGTATATAGAACATTGCTCCATGTGCTTACTTGACGGCTAATATTGACAATAGCTGGTAGCAATGTGAGCACAAAATAGATCTTGTGTTATTGAGTTTCAATCGTTATCACAGAGCATTCTCAATAATTGTAATTTACATTTATCTACGTAGCCATTCATTGACCACATTCCTAAGTTAGAAATAGACGAATGTGTTGGATGACTGTAACAAAGTCCTTGTATATGGCGAGTAAAGTAGTGTTGTGTAAATTCAACCATTTCAAGTTCTTTACAGTATAAGGCTGGTAATAATTCACGTCTATTGAAGACAGAATCATTCTTTTCCATATATTGACACACGCAGCTGGGCGGAAATCGGAAATCGTTAAGGCCAAGTTATCATAATGAATTAACACATTTTCTTGCTTTTACTCTTTCTTTACAGGATAAGTTACTGTATATGATTATTCCGCGATGTTCCGAGTCAGAGCTGTCACCTGTAGCATCGCCGAACTTGTAGCTTACTTAATTATGAAGCTGGCGTATTTAACAGAACACAAGTGATTTACTGTTACGGGCACCATAGGTGTTTTTTCCATTTGTTGGCATGTAAATGAATTGAATCACGTGAAGACTAAGCCGCGTGTTGTTTCAACGGCCAATAAAACACAGGGTGTATAGAGTCCATGAACAGAGAGGCTATTGTTTGCTTTCCTTAAATCATATAAAAGATCATTTTGAAAACGAGAACGAATAATGCCGCAATAACTCGACCTTGCCAAACACCTTGTTAAATGGGACACTCACCAGATCTTTCTCTGTTGTGTGATATGAAATCCCAGCTGCCCGCATAGCTATGGAGAAGTGGGTTCAATAATTTGCCCTTGACACCAAGGCCATGGAATTTGACCAATAGTCCGTCGTGTCATATACGATCGAAAGCCTTAAGTTTTCATTATCTACAAATGCAGCAAACACTTGCGATTTTCTTTCTACTTAGAAATAAAGACATTCTGAAACGGTGAATACAGACATGATAACTCCATGTTCTATTCTGACACCAGACTGTAAAACATCCGTGAAGGCTTGGGGGTTACTGAGTGATTTTTTCTATTCTACCTAAAATGAGTTTAGATAGACACGATGTAAGGGTTATGCCCTTTTTTATAAATCGGTATTATCGTACCTTGTCTAAAGGCACATGGATAGTTCTTGGATGCAAGTATGTGATTGAATAGGTGTTTGAGTGTTACTACAAGCGCCTCTCCTCCAAATATTAGGTGCTCATTTGTGATGCCATCAGGTCCTGGAGATTTGATTCTTTTAAGTTTGCATATATGTGATCCGATTTCTGATACTTGGATTTCTGTATACAAGATATCATCTAGAGGATTATCTTTACGACTTTATAATATAAATAAGTTATCGGTCCTTTGTACTTTACTTACCACAATAAGTATCATCATCAGAAATAATAGTAGTGATAGCATGAGGTGGATAAGCACCTATTATTATCATAACAATAAAATGAATACGCACTTTCTTTCACAAGCCCTGGTCATCATTCCATTTAGTAATATTTTATCGGTTTCTCATTGCTGAATTCTGATGGCGGGAATCTCCACTTTCAGGTGAAACTGCATGTCATTCAAATGATGCAACAATTTTCTGCATCAGAAAACATGTCCACTTATCCAAGACCGGTAGTATGGATTCCCGCGGGCAATGCCAAGATGGTAAGTATTTAAACAACCCAAACTCTGGTTTGAATTAAACCGTCTTGAAACTGACAGTAAATTCTTCTTTTTGACGTCAAAACATCAAACATTACCAGCTGATCACGCACTATTCTTCATACAGACGTCATCAAAAGATTTTAGTGTACAATTTCATGCTGCTGTAAACAGGTCAAAGGCTCATTGCTCAAAAATAAAACATCAGTACACACGTTTTGCATACTAGTATTTGCGTATGTGCGAAATTAAAATCAAACCTACTAATATATAATTTTCTGCATTACAGTCTTTCATCAAATCACTCGCGAGTTTTGCATACGCACAACTTCTTTCTGGCAGTGACATCAAGCAACTGTGCAAATACCAGAGGATTCAGGTTTTTATTCCACAGAAATATATTAATATTGCATTAAATGGGAAATCAGAAATAAATATTTAGTATAATAGCCTTTAAATAACATCTGAATCTATTTCCATTTGATAATTACATATTCATCCGACGTGATCAAATGTTCTACCGTGAGATAGCCTCCCAGGTGCATCCGCCATTTGTAAGCTTTTTGTGTTAGATAATCTATCACTAGAGTGAGTGAGTGAGTGAGTGAGTGAGTGAGTGAGTTGGGTTTAACGCCGCTTTTAACATTATTCCAGTTATCTATCACTAGAAAAAAAATGTATATACAATGCTGGTTTACAGTAGGATTTAGTTTTGTCATCCTTTCCTTTCGTAACCAGGTGACCATCGGGAAGATATTTGTGTGCATGCAGAATAACATTGGCAGCAGTGGCTCGGGGGATGAGACTGAGGCAATTATGAACGCCTTTGCTGGGGATTTGGATCCCGAAGACAAGGTTTGTTCCGTATGACACTGGACGGATTGATAGATGTATCCTCTTCAAAAATGTTAACATTGTATGAGGCAGTTAAGCAACTGATGGCGTGGCTTTGAAAAAAGGGAATTTATCCAATTGTAGAAGGACATAAATTAATGTAGTCAAAGATTAAATGTGGCCATAAGCTGCACCTACGAAATAAGTGCCCCTGGCGCTGGGTATTGAGGGGGCTAAAGCAGGGACTGGTCGGCTCGGAGTCAATATACTGAATCTGAGTGGGGGATTCATGTTAAACTCTGGACATGGTATCTCAGAGGGCTAGCACTAGTCCGGTGTAGTACAAGCGAGCACACACACGCACGCGCGCGCACACACACACACTCACGTTGCTATAAAAGTGCAATAAACTTGGACGCGACGTTAAGCACCGTTTCACCTCACCTTAAAAAAATGTATGTTTTCGATTGTTTGGTAAGTCACAGTCTGTGATGTTGTATGTCTTATTAAACTGTGGAAGGGGGATGTGCTAAGAAAAGGGCGTTCAGAGTTTTCTGTGATATAGAATGACGGCCATGATATTCATCTTCTTGATCATTGTATTTAACATTCTGATTACTCATGTTTCACAGGAAGAAGTACTTAACACCGTAAGAGCCAAGCTTGAAGGAAAGCCCGGAGTTGGAAGCGAAGAATGTGGCCCTGTGGATTTCGATAATGTCATCGAAAGTGAGAACCCGGTCCTGCCTGCTCTTGGGACTAGGGTTGTGAGGGGACCTGACTGGAAGTGGGACAACCAGGACACTGACGGTGTTGGGACGGTTATCAACCACATACACGACCCAAGGAAAATATGTAAGGGTGTAAACATAGACCACCGTTTGTCTCACTTTTTGGCGTCTACTGTTGCTGTCTTTATTCAAGTGTGGTTACTGTATGCTTCAGGTTGGATTTGGGTGCACTGGGACAATGGCAGCTGCAATAAGTACAGATATGGAGCCGATGGAGCTTTTGATGTAAAGAGCGTTGAATGTCAGCCGAGGATGGTTTATTCTGATTTGTTGATTGGCATTGGCTGTGAGGTTCAGAGAGGTAAAAATAGAAATGCCGGAAAGTACAATTTATCAGCTCAAGTTGATTTAAAGTGATAAAGATAAATATTATTTGAGATGTTTTTGGTCTGTTTTAAGGGCCAGTTACTCTTAGTGTTTATTGTGGAATGATGTAGAAATGAAAACCCTCTGGAAATATCAATTATTTCATAAAACTAACTCCAGGTGCGGATTGGCAAGATGAGTACGGTGATCAAGATGGCGGCCCAGGAGGTGTTGGTGTCGTCGTCAGGGTGAAGGACAATGGGATGGTGAAGGTACATGTACTCAGAAACATCATCATCAGTACGGGATGAGGCAGAAGGGGGGTTACCAAAGAAGTACCCACACTACTGAAAGTTGTTTCATACAGAACCAGTCGTCTGTGACTATCAGAAACGGATGACTTCAGGGCCCTTTTATTTCTAATGGATATACCTTTCTGTAAGCAGATCAGTGATCGATCTTTAGCGAGATACAACAATATATGTGTAGCCGGTTTCAACATGAGGTAATATTCTTTATACATTGCCAGGTACGCTGGAGACTAACTCACCAGATCAATTCATACAGATATGGATATGATGGGAAAATGGACCTGATCTTAAGGTAAAATCTTGCCTTTATTGAAGTTTATGACTCAGGACATTATCCTTGTCATGTACTTATTGTTTCCGTATATAATCTAAAACATTAATCTCGCTTCTGGGATTACTGTTGCAGAGATCCGGTCGATATTGTGATGGCGTACTCAAAAGATGACACTCCAGGAATTGCGTCGCCAGGAGACCAAGGTAAAATAATTAACAATTATTACATCATACAAGTATGAAATGGTCAGTTTTAGGAGCGACTCGTGAGAGGGGGTATGGTGATAGTCACCAGTACTGTATCTATCTCACGACGTCACAGCGATAGGATCATGTAACAACAAATCCAGTGGTTGATGATATGAGCATACGGTGACTTCTGAAGCTGGCTTCTGTAAGATAATGCAGTTTGACAGTACAAACCACCAGTATGAACAATGGGACTTCAAGTCAGAAAGTCCAATAGCTCTAGTGACTCAACTGTATACTTCCGGTATTGGAATACAAAACATGTTCGATTCCTTTAGTGTCCAATGCCAGCACAGGTTTATATAATATGTAGAGTTTCAAAGGTGTAACCATAAACTATGTGGAAGAAGTTTATTGTAAATTATCTCTGATATTATCTACGATCTTTGCAAGGTATTAAAGAGGGAATAGCGCACATGCCTGTGATAGTTAAATTCCAGCAGGACCTGAAAGCATGCGGCTCAATTACCAAAACCATTTAACAATCAGCATGAAGCAATACATGAGTGTTGTTTGTGCAGATTTCCTTACACAGACTCAGTGGATGTGGCAGTGGAAAGATGAAACGGGTAACTGGGTATCATACAGTGAAGAAAATGAGAAGAGGCTGGAACACGCCTATGGGAAACGTTCAAACGGTTCCTGTCTTCTAAGCATCAACGGCCTGCAGTTAGGTTCTACCTCATTCAAATATACCGTTTGGTCTAGATTCTGAACACCGATCTGAGACTATCGTAATTGTATATGAAGTAACGGTGTAAGGACATTTTAAGACGGGCGTGTTACTATTATCGTTATTACTGCCGACTGTGATAATCAATGATGTACATTTCCTTGTTCTTCAGGTACAGGGTTCTTTTCAAGGAGTGGCATCAGCGACGATTGGAGGACAATGTCAGAATGGACGTTCATAGAATACCAATGGATCGACAATAAAAACGGGATCTTTCATGTTTCACAAGCATCAGCGACCATGACCTGCTGATGTAAATAGCATTGCATATTGTCGATATTGTTTTATAATTAAATTTTCGTTGTGTTCATTGTAATTCCTGCATTCTGATTATCTGAATTGGTCACGTGTTATTGCATTCATTTTCCATTGAATGTAAAAGAATTAGCCATGCTCGCCGAAGCAGACTACTTTTAAAACTATGGAATGTCGGGGTATCCCAATGTTACAGTCGAGAGAATTCCCTGTCTGCTTACCTGCATCGTTATGCACAGGACTTTTTTAGCAACATTTATGCATAATTCATGGTCCTAACCCGCCTTTGAGGCCGAATCTCAAAACCGACGTGCAGTCTTGTGTAAAAATCCGCAACGCATACTTGTGACTGAAGCATATTTTACTCACTAAAAGTAATGTTTTGCATTGATGACCTTCAAAGTAACATACCTTCTGCTCATGGTTGACAAGTGATAGACCTACTTTATGAGTGAGTGAGTGAGTATGGTTTAACGCCGCTTTTAGCAATATTCCAGCAATATCACGGCGGGGGACACCAGAAATGGGCTTCACACATTGTACCCATGTCGGGAATCGAACCCGGTTCTTCGGCGTGACGAGCGAACGCTTTAACCACTAGGCTACCCAACCGCCCCACCTATTTGTGAAAAAATGATAAACAACTGTGTGTTCAGTGGTGGCACATGTCGATTAATGGCAATGAAATGTCAAACGTGTTACAGGTCTTGAATATAAAGCACTTTTCTTCTAGGTCAATCTTATTAAATTCCGACCTGACTGCTGGCTACTGATACGCAGGTGTGACTGTTGCAAGAACTAAGATCTAATTTAATGAGATTGCTTCTTGGTTCTTTTCACGGTTAAGTAAACTTGATCAATGAAATGAATTTCAGGATTTTTCATTGCTATCCCTGTTCAACCAATGACTTAGTGTGCTTTTTTCTTTTTTTTTCTTTTATTTCTTTCATAAACGCAATGATTCTATTGTTATTGCATTACTATACTATTCTGAAATCATTGTTTTGATCAAACTTGTCATTGTATATACTGTACATACTGGTAGTGTTAGGTTGAGTTCCTGTCATGTTTAATGATCCGCATCATCTTGTGAATATGCTAGCAGAAAAGAAGGAAATATTTTATTCAGATCATATTCATTTTGAGAACTGATTAAATAAATGAAGTGTTTGGCCGAAAACTGGCTTTATAATTATTATTTATGAAAGCACAAATGTGTTTACAAGTAGACAAATACCATACAGACCTTAAATATGTCAGTGATGTTACTATGCTTAATTTTACAGTTGGTTACCATACTGCATGCACTCTATGGATCTATGCAAATTCACTGACTTTGTTCATTTAAGTGCAGTACCATCAGAAATGTGTTTTACTCATGACATGTATTATCTAAAACAATGCAAGTTAAACAAATTACCATGGAAGAAAGTGACTGTTATTGAATCAATAGTCTGTTATCGGGCCCAGGCCAATGCTAGTGGTCGAAGTGCTACAATGCAGGGTGACAGTGGTGGGACTGGCAAAAACATTCTAATGCTAAACTCGGATCCCCCCTCCTGTTAACTTACTGTAAAATGTAATTGGAGGATTTCACTTGTAAACCCAATTTTGTTATTGAACCTTTGGACATATTTTATCATAAGAATTTGCAAAGACATTGTAATAAAAAAAATTCACAAGGCTCAGTAGTACACACACAACTGTTTGAATTTATAAAGGTCTTACAAGAATACTAAATACAACATTAAATTTAGAAAACTATTATGGTAAAAAAACATGTGAAGTTTGTAAAAATCAGCTTCTTAGATTCAAGATATTTCATTTCTACACCACAGACAAAGTTCAGATGATGAGTTTCAACTCAATCACTGCGATATTCTGAAAATGTGATTATATTTCAATTTATTGAAAACATCTAATTGTCACCATTGTACTTCTACATATTCTAAGACATTAGCTTTTTATATTCCGAGAAATTGTATTGTTTTCAATTCTATGCTACACTTCGGGCCTTTTGTATTCTGAGAATTTTTCTTTTTTTCAATTCGATCCATGCCATGAAGAATTTCTTATTATGGCCCTTCCTAAGACAAATGTCTGGTTTCTGACATGATGGTTCATGAAGAATTTCATTACTTTAGTTTGATTATTTAACTATTTGTTTTCAATAAAAAAAAGAGAGTATTATTTTACTTTCACTGGCATAAACAAATTTAAAACTAATGTACTGCTACACGAAATATCCATGTGTCAGATTCCTAGACCTTGTGGTTTCTCAAGGGTGAGTGAGTGAGTGAGTGAGTGAGTGAGTGAGTGAGAGTGAGTGAGTGAGTGAGTTGGATTTAACATTGCTTTAAACAGTATTCCAGTTATATCGCGGCATGTCAGCTTAATGTGGGAGAAAAGCCCGAAGTGATGCAGGTCTCAGACGTTTATCACTTCAGTGAAACCCACGGCACGAGTATGGCGCTGACAAACCTAGAAACATGATCGGGGCAAACCGGGATTCGAACCCACAATCAGAGGTTTCTGGCGTGCCCAAGGGACGCAACTCTCCACAGCGAATCGTGGTGCCTTAGACGACTGGGCCACCTGTGCCCCCGGTTTCTCAGGAGAGTTGTATTAATTTACAATTTCATTTATGATAAACATAACATCTTACAAAGATAAAACCATATATTTCACAACATATGTGAAAATAGTGAGTTGACACTGAGTTGTGCACGTACAGCAACAAAAATATTTTTACGCCGCTTTTAGCAATATTCCTGCACGGTGGTTGACACCAGAAATGGGCTTCACACATTGTACCCATGTCGGGAATCGAACCCGGGTCTTCGACGTGACGAGCGAACGCTTTAACCACTAGGCTACCCGACCGCCCCCAGCAACAAAGAGGTTGTTGGGTAGGGCAGGACATACTTAATCTTTTTGCCAACACCTGGTGTCATCACCAATTTTCAGTGATCCATTCATAATTTTTTTACCCCTATTCTTCCTTTTATGCACAGAAGAATCTGTTTCGGTTGATAATTGAAACTGATTATTCTCCTGGCATTGATGGTTCACATTTACATTTATTCAGGGAATTGCTGAAAATGCAGAATTATTAGATTGATGCGGAAGAATAAAGTACCTATTTCATGTCAAATGATTGGCTGACTGGGGTTGACATACTAGTACATGGAAGATAAACAATAGCCAGTATGTCCAGTTAAACAAGTGCCACAACACTGTAGCTCACCTGGATGTATAGTCAACAGAGACAACCACTTATAAAAGTTTCTTTCAGTATTGCTATTCAAATATTTTCTGCATAAGTACTGAAAACAAAAAGTATTAACAAATGTGAAACAAGGAACTATCCACAATGTTTCTAAATCTGCAAGAATGATTGTAGTTTGTAGAACATTGTTTGAACAATGAACACAACAATTAAAGTTACTTTACACAAAGTTTCAAGTCTGAGCCTCATAGCAGATATGGCTGAAATACTGCTGACATGACTCTAAGTATAACTCACTCACACTTCAACTGTCATCATTGGAGGGGGAAAAGATAGGAAGTATCAGTTTCAATTGTCCAGTGGTTTCTGAGAAGACAATGTTGACAACAGACTTTCAGTCTGGTGAGCTAGAAAGGAATCTACAGGGCACATTTGAATATTACTATCCCAATGTAGTTCATTGACATGTATCGTGAAACCATACTGCCTACAAAGTGGCTACAAGTGTATGCAGGATACACAGGTCAATGGTCGAAGCTGGGTAAAAAACACAATATGCAAAAAGCAAATATGTTTCATTATGATGCGAGTATGATATGAGCACATTTTGACCTTTTCAATGTGGCTGCCTTGGTAGTCATGTTAAAAATGTGTTGAGTCTGTGAGTACCTTTTACAGATACCATAGTTGCTCCATTTATGCAAAATTTCAGCTTCAACAGCCTTTGAGTATGAGAGATGTTGAAAATGTAAACGTTATAATGAGACGGACAGATGAGCCACAACTTAACCTCACTTGACTTTGATTAGGCTGAATTTAAATACCAGTATTGTGATAATGCCAATGTTCAAAGTCAATCCAGAATTCTGTAACCATTTCTCAATGGTGGCATTTCAGCATGGATTCAGAGATGTAAAATATCTGAAATTTTATGTCAGGATGAGAGACAACAGATGCTGCAAATTGGCCTAAGTCCACTTGATCACTGGTTCAGTTGAGTTAATAATTCAATAAACTATGTCTGATTTTACCATACTTTATTAGTGAAAATAGACAATATAACATGTTAGCATCAGAAAGTTACATATTTATTATCTCAGCTAATCTATTTCAACAAGACCAATAATCAATGCAGCTGGAGACAATTCATCAAAAACTCCCAAACATCATCTACAATCACAAATATCACATCACTGCAATGTTGCATACTCTTATGTAATCTGCAGTAATCAAGCCTTGTTTCAAAAGCTTGCTAAACTGAAACTGAGGTGGTTAGTGTAAACAAGGATTACACATCGAAGCATTTTTTCATAAATTGCATCCCAGTGTTTTCCAAGTGACGTAAATTTCATGATGGGGACTTTACAATGTTCAGGTGAGGCGAGGTGAAATGGGGTTAAGCATCGCGTTCAACATTATTGCACGTATGTAGCGATGTGCATGCATGTGTGTGGCTGTTTGTACTAGACTGGACTAATGCCAAATTTTATAGTGCTAGCCCACTGAGATACCATGCTGCAGTTTAACATGAATACCCCACTCAGACACAGTATACTGACTCCAACCAGTCCTTGTTTTAGCCCCTTAATGCTGAACGCCAGGCAGGGTACCAACAAGTACCATCTTTTAACACCTTTTGGTATGATGCGGCCGTGGGTCGAACCCCAGAACTTCCGCTCTCAGGGTGGACACTCTACCACGAGACCACGGAGGCAGTCATTACAATATTCACGGATTATATCTGTAAAGTCCCAGGCACTTTGTTTTACAGTTCTAGGATTCTTACCCTTACACAACGCGTGACACTTTGATAATGATTCTCAGCTCACTACCGCTTTGACCACTATGGCATAATATGAATAGACTGAAAATATGATGAGGTCATACTTTGGAGTGCTATTAATTAATACTGGCAGTGTGTGACAAAATATGTTGGTTTTTTTTTTACATAATCATAATTTCTTATGTGCAATAGCATCTGAATGAGTGAAATAGATGTAGTAAGCAGATCTTCCAAGGTTTATTACACTGCAAACTGAATTGCATGAAGTATAAAGTAAAATAAAATGTCCATCAGTTTTTAGCTGATGCATAAAATACTTCAGCATCCACATCATGCAAGACTTTGCAAGGAAGAATCATGTGCCTTCTTCTGATGTTTGTTCAAGTCCTGAGCATGTTTGTACCGTTTGTTACACATCGTGCAGGGCAGTCTGAAGTCAGTGTGCCCCCGGGAGTGACGCTCCACGTGGGTACGAGTCTTGAACCTCTTCCCACACACTTGGCACAAGAATGGTCGAGTGCCTACATGAATGTTATGCACATGATTCTTCAGAATAAACTTATCAGCAAACTTCAGTCCACACTCCAAGCAGGAATATGGCCGTTCTCCAGAGTGTTTCAACCTGTGTCGGTTGAGGTTGGACTGGTTGGAGTAGATCTTCCCGCAAGTCTCACACTGCATGGACTGGGTCCCCTCACCACTTGCCCCCGAAACTCTCGGCTTCGTACATCTCCTCAATGCTTCATGTTTGACAAGAGCTTTTGAAGAAGAAAAATACCTATCACAAATGTTACAACAGAAAATTGCTCCATTAGGGTGAGATACTTTGTGATGTGTATTAAGTGCCTTACCACTAGCATACACTTTGAAACAAAGCTTGCACTTGAGGAAATGTGTCAGATCACACTGGGCACGTCTCTTATGCTTCAGGTAGCTGGTTCTCCTGCTGTAGGTCTTGTCACAGACCGAGCAGTGGTACCCTCCATCCTCGGTCTGTTCCAAGTGGGTCATGGTGTGACTCTCAAGCAGCTTTTGGCTTGAAAAATGTTTGGAACAAGTGTTGCAGCAATAATATCTACACCACTTCTTGGAAACTTTATGACGGAATATGCTTGTTTTTGTTGAATATACTTTGTTACAATTTTCACAAAAATAAGGTTCTATTTTATTCCCTATATCCTTCCCACCCTCTTTGGGACAATTTCTCAGTGTGGTGTGTCTTCTCAGGCCACATTTGCTGTGAAACTGCAGATGGCATGACTCACATTTGAATGCTGTGTCAGGTAACCCACCCTTACTGATCTCATGCTGGAGTCTCAGTAGCTGTGTCTGGTCTCGGCAAGTCTTGGCCCTGATGTTTACCCCATGTTCACCGGTATGCTGCGATAGCTGACAATCACTAGTGAATGTCTGTGCACATATGCTACACTTGACTAAGTTGTCTGTAGTGATGTTTTTTCTGTGTTTCACAAACAATGATATGCTCTGATATGTCATTCCACAAATAAGACACTGGTAAACACCATCTGCTAGCTTCTGAGCCTGTACCGACCTTGCACAACTCTTTTGATGTCTGTGTAGATTCACCTCACAAGAAAATATCTTGGCACATGTATAACATCTGTACCCTCCATCATGAGATACTTCTATGTGTCCGTTCATAAGGGTTTGATTGGCAAAACTTTCATGACAGATTCTACATATATGTCTTCTTTGACATCTGTGTTTCAGGAATGTCATCCTGGAAGAAAAACATTTTTTACAAAGAAGACACATCACATTGTTGCCCTGTTCCTTATAATGTCCATGATAATGTTGTTTCAGCCGACACGGAGACACAAACATCTTCTCACACAGGTCACATTCAAGCTTCTTCATCATGTTTTCCTCTTTGTGCCTCAAATACAGTCTCTGCAAAGGGAAGACAATTTTGCAGTCTGAACAACTGTGTCTTCTGTGTAACCCTTTCTTTTTTAAGATGATACTTCTCTTAATTCTCTTAAACCATTTGTGTGCTTGAGATACCCCATTAATTCTTACAGGTTTCAAGCTGGTATCTTTAAAATCTTCACAGTCATCAGTTTCAGAGTGGTCTTGACGTTCTGCATCCCCACTTGGCCATGGTGTGTATTCCCAGGGTGCTGACATCAAGGTGTTTTCACCAACATATAGTTGACAACTACGTTCTACCTCAGCTGGCTTCACCACACTTGTATTGGAAGGTGTTGACAAATAAGCCGCAGTATTGGAAAATGCTGATGAAACTGATTCACAAAATTCAATACCAGCCATCCTCGAGGCATCAGCTATTTTGTTCACTTCATCCTGCTTAACTGAGGACCCAACCTGTGGAACCTGACCACTGGGGCCAGCGCATGATGAACTCACATTCTGGGGCATGGCTTCAGGGTGATGACTTTCTAGTTTGGGAGTGATGTTAGTATATAAGTCAGAGGTGTTCCTTCTTGCTGTGAGTTTATTCCTCATAGAAACAACATTAGCTGCAACACATATCTTTTCTGGTGAAATAAAAGCATCACTCCAATTAACCACTGACTTTGAAAAGTGGATCTCCACATCATTAGAAAGAATCAGCACCGTGGACAATGATTCATTTGGAACGAATTTTGAACACTGATGAGATGAGTGTGAATTATCTCCCCCTTGTGGCCTTGAACCATACACATTTTTCTTCTCTCCAACTTTCATTAACACTGGTTTGTCCTCAGTCTGTAAGACACGGAAGTAATAGAGAAATCTCAAGGTATGTGGAAACAGAAGTAAAAGAAATATATCACAACAACACCTGGTATGCTTGACAAAACGTTGCTTCTGGAAACTACTCATATCTGCATCAAAGACTAAACTCATTCTGATCTTTGTTTATAAGGTATACCACAAGTGTTTCATTTCATGCCTACACTTATGTGTCTTACGATGCCATCAAAACATGTTATAGGGATATCTAACTTTAAATAACAAAACATAGAGGAGGTTTATAAAAGTTGTTATGAACTGGTACATAGATGCAAATGGATGCATAAATCTTGTATATCTGCAGTAGATACCATGCTTCCATTTTACCCTCAGCTAATAAACACCTTCATTGTACTGAACAATGATCCCTGACACTGGCTGATGTACTGAGATGAACATCCTCCCTAAGTCAGGCCTGCTGAGGACATCATTACTGAGAATGTCAGAGAGTGAATGTTGCTTTATGCCACAGTATTCCAGCTAAATAGTTGTACAAATAACTGTGAATAATCTAGTCTGAACCAGGTATGCCAAAGGTCCAGGAAAAGCAATCTACCAGGTTGTACACAGCCCTTCTCACAAGCATGCTTGTTTGTTGTTTAACGCCGCACTCAGCAATATTCCAGCTATATGATGGAGGTCTGTACCAGACGATCCAGTGATTGACATCAAGAGCATCAATCTAAGCAACTAGGATACTATGATCTGTATCAACCAAGTCAGCGAGCCTGACCACAGGATCCTGTAAGTCGCCTCTTACAACAAGCACAGTCGCCTCTTACAACAAGCATGGGTTGCTGAAGACCTTCCCAAGCATGTGGAAATCATGGTAATGGAGACTACTACTGCTCAAAATGCCAAGTAGAGGAATCTTTGTAGGAGTTATTTTGTTTGCACATAAACTAACATTCACTCACTGCGGTATTTAATTAGGTTAGTTACATACTTCTGTATCTGGACTACAAAATGATTCTCCATCAGCTCGGACAATCTGCGACGATGCTACTTTGCGGACAACAGTAACCTTCAGCCATATCTCCTCAGCCAGACTCTCCATGACAGCAAGGTGGGACACATATCACGTGAATCTCCACTTCCAGGTACACTGTGTCAAGTCTGGTGCTAGAATCTGTCACTGGACTTGAGGTCTGTGTAAATAAAAGCAATAGAAGTCATCTGAAGTCTGATTGAAGCTTACAAGTTGTGGAAGTAGCTATGGTATCATGTATCCAAGTAGTGTAAACAGGGAAAGAAAATCAATTTCTTATATATATGAAATTAATATGTACATAAATATCAAAATTTATCACCACTCCTTCAGTGCTAGTACCCAAGGATTCAAAACCATAGTTAGCAGAGGTTGATGTTCACACTTTCAAGGTGTTTTGTACCCAAATATGTTTTTCTTTCAAAGACATCCAGGTAAAAACTGTCACACTGGTTTTTTCTCCAGTGTTTGGTATAAAGTCTTCATCACACAGAAAGGGAAAGCAATTAGGACTTAAAATCAGCCCTCATAATCATACAGTAATATTTCAAACAAACTTACTGTATTTATATAATAAAGAGAACAGTATGTTCTCGAAGATGGACTGTGCTTGATGGTACATAGATGTTGTAATTAGTGCTTTGTGTCAACTGAGACATTGTGACTTTGTAATAAGTGTAATCATTAACTGTCAAATGGTTCTAGTCCATGGAGTGAACAGACATCAGGCAGTGTCTGAATGACTCGCATCAAACATGCTGGATCCTAGTACACCCTTAAGTAAAGGATATTTCTGTCTGACCAACAAGGAACGTTTTGATAAAAGGTCATGATATGAATCATACTGTAGTACTTTGTAGTATCAAGGTACATGCAACCTTTGGCTGCCAAAAAATTATAATGGTAGGGGAACTTCACTCTTTGCTACTGAAAACAAAAGAGATGAGAGAGGAACACTTTTCATCCCCCCCCCCCCCCCCCGCCCCCCCCCCCCACCCCCAACCCCAAGAATACCAACAAACACAGCCAGAACACATTGACCTCAGATGTTCAATACTATATCAGTTGTTCAGAATAAACAACATAGCCTGTTTTATATGCTGCAGGAAATTTGAAAAATATTTATTTGATTGGCAATAAAAGTGACTTGAAACCAGGATTTATCATGACAAGCCAAACGTGACCAAGAACCATTTCCTCTTTTTCAGCTTTTGAGAAAGATTGTGTACACTGATAGCAAAAGACAAGCTGATAGTTGTTTTCCACAATCCTTTTAGATGTCACATGGAAAAGGACTCTGCCCATGACCCCTACTTCAAATTTTGCCTGGGTTACGGCAACCTAACCCTAACAATGCATAAATGACATTTTACTATTTCTAGCCATGGATTATGATTTCCTTAAAATATCATGCAGGGGTCATGGAGCTGAAGTTTTACTGTCATATGTGGATGTTACACACTAGGTTTTTTTAGTTGGATCACAGATTTGTGAGGGAGGAATGGATCCCTGAATGTCTTCACAAACATTACCTGTAGGAGGGGGATGGGAATAAGAAGAAAATACAACTAGGTTGCCATCTTTAGCACCATCGTCTGCTGGTGTTGTTATCCTTGACCAGGCCCCTCATAGCAATAGCCCATTCACGGAGTTCTCTATACTATCACTGCCACCAGTCAAAGCTCCCCAATGCGATAGGTGGCCACAACCATGCTTGGAGTTTAACTCGCAACCGACTGAACGTTATATTCACAAACAAGTGATGGCTGCCATGACGCCAAATACTTTTATCACAGCTCAGTTATTTTCTTTGTTTGTCAATCTGAATTTCTATTTCATTTCAACTATGATGTAAATGGTATTGTAAGAATGTAAAGGGCAAGTTGGGTGATTTTCCGTTAGTCTGCAATCTAGAACCAATCTGATCGAACAAACAAAATGGTAAACATTTACAAAATTCACTATGATGGCATTCCCAAAGACATAAACAAAAATATAATATGTCTATATTTGGGGTTAGAGGGCAAATTTCAAGAATCTTGTCATGGCCTTGCCCACACTGATGGCAGCGATGTTACCCAGAGTGTAACAAAGGTGCCACACGCTGGGAAGGAGCTTGATCCTTGACAGACAAAGGGAGTTAATTTCAGCATAGTCTGTGTGATAAGGACAAGGAACGTAACTCTAGATTAATTATGCAAGGAAGTTTGTTACTACTCGTTACGCATATATTATCAAGTGTACCGTTTATGGCTGTTTATAAGGTGAGTTTTTCTTACCTAGAATTAGGGGGCTTTCAAGAGGGCGTCGTCTTATACGGCAATAGCGATCAGGTTATGGTTATTAATTTATTTCAAATATATATAGTAAAGCTCGACTAAAATAACATGGAATAAATTATTCCTGAAAACAATAGTTTCAGATACAATTCTTAAGATCACTGTATCAAAATTCTTTAAAGTTTTCTTTTAATTTTTAACCAAATCACCGAAAGATTCAGAGAAACGTGTGAACAGCTGACTGCTACTTCCGGCTTAGTTTACGAGAAAATACAAACAGTAATCTTAATCTCTGCATATAAAACAATGCCTATCAGAAAAGGAAATACAATTTATTAGGTAAATCATCATGTCTAGTGTCTTTTTTATCTCAAATTTGTATTAACCAACTTTAATTGTTATGATGTGTTCGTTTCCCTGAATTCACTGAAGGGATACGATGTATTTCTTTCTGGGGAAGACAAACATGTTTTTATTGCAAATGTAGGGATTGTGTACATGGTGTACACACTAGTGACATGCTTCATTCCAATTTGCTTTACAGATGGGGTATATAAATTAGCATCGATTTTGAAGTCTTGTACAGGGGGGTCGCCTCATACGTAGGGTCTCTTTATAGACGGCGATATACGGTATGTTAATTTCAGCTTCTATTTCATTTCTTCGGCCTTAGTTCCAGCACTGTAGTTCCATCCAATGTAACGTGTTGTACTATTACAACAGCACAGTCGGCATTGCGCTTGTTTCACTGGGTCTCTATTGTCTTACCCCAGCTCCTTTTATTCAGTGACAGGGGCTTATGTGACTGCACCTAACTTAGCATGTATGAATGAATGTATATATGATGAGGTGAGTGATTAGAATAGGTATTTTATACATTATACAGAGTTATTATATACATTGCAGTGTGCTATGGATAAATGTAATCGTCTTCACTATAGATAACCTGTGTTTGTCAGTATGTACATTACAACACATCTTCTTGTGCATGTTATGTGTATAAACCACTATCAATTTTGCTTTAACACCCAATCAACATGTTACATGGTAGGCAATGTACATCCACAATGACATAAGATGTAAAAAAGAGGGGTGTGGCCACCCCTAGAACCCACGACTGGGTATGTTGCATATCTCAACGGTGTATATATTTATATATATATATCCACAGGCCTTTCATCAATGTTTATAGCTAATGCCATCTGCTATGAAACTGTCATCTTGAGAATTTCGACCTGCATTTCTGATTCCTTTACCAAACTCCGCGTTACACATAGAATAACCAACTCAAAACTCAGGATTGCAGATTATGCCTCACTCACAAATGAATTTTGTCCCACACCAAGGGCTAAATAACCCGCGATTCCTTGCAGGGATTTGGTTATTCTCTTATAATTACCAGGAAGTCACAGTACCTTATCACATGTTGGCCTTGCAACAATGTTGCAGAGGACATATACAGTGTGCACACTAAGGTAGAACAAAGACTATATCGGTATATAGTCAGTGTCTAGCATCACTAAACAATGCTAAACTACAAGCAACATGGTTGAATTAGAGTGGGACTTCCGCATCACCTTTGATTTGTGTAAAAAAGTGTCAGTTTATATTAAAATAAAAGATTAGTATGGAATCTTTGATTGAATCTATATCAAAGATCAATGTTTTGGAAATTATACTTTGTAGCAAATATTGAATAGAAAACAGAGTCTAGATACTTCAGTGTTAATATACTATTCTTGATATCCTGCTCTTTTTTTCAATTTTAACTTTTTATTAAGTCTACATATAAAGTATGATTAACATGATCAAAATCTCGTTTTTATCCTGTCAAGTCATTTTCAATGACATTTGTATGAATATAATTGCCACTTCAGGAAACCTTAAGCTTTCATCTAACATAATCAACAAATGGGAGTGATTCTTACTATTAAAAGATTAACAACTTATCTACAATCATACGGGAGCGCCTATCGAAAACAGGACAGTAAGATTAGTACGCGTATATTGCGTCTGAAAAACGTTGCAAACGAGAAAATATACTAGAGATACGTTGAACACGTTCATCATTCCTTATAAAAGCCCTAAGGCAAACGGATAACATGTGGTGCGAATATTATCACCGAATACGTTCACACATCGTCGTATCATAACTTACCAAGTGCTTTTTCGACAAGGGACGTAACTCATGACTGATTCATTACAACCGACAGTCTTCCACAGTTTTCACCTGTTGAAAGGGCAAGAAGTCGCTCTGATACGTCGTGACACAGAATAAGATAAGTTGTTATCCATAAAAAGTGTCATGTAGACAGACTTTCTGCTCAGTAGTCAATGGAAATAAACTTTCTGAATGATTCCTAACATGAACAAAGGGAACAATGAAACAAATCAAATTTTAAAAAAAACATGATTTAAGTTAGCCTATAGACTATTGCCTTATACACTGAACTGTGTTATGAGCAATATATAGCCTTTTGCAAATTTATTTGGTTTTGTAAGTAGGTTTTAACTGTAAAAAGACTGAAATTAACTTTGTTTTGTATATTGTCTCCTCAGTGTAAGCCTTGTTCAACACCTACCACTTATACCTGGTAATAATACCTCGCTATCTTGAGATAATGTTTTTTTTTTCTGATAACAGCTATGGTATTCTTGGAAATTGAATTATACTAATTCTTATTGCAGTCAACTAATTGCATCACAAATTAAGCGTCGATTTAATTACTTTTGACCCGGCGGGCAGGCACATTTTATGTTTTAATTTGAAATGTAAAAAATTTAGTTCATTACCCATAGTTAGACGTACAGATGTTGTGCCTTTAAACCTACAATGGTCTTAAGTCTACAATATTCATGAGTGGGCGGAGCGTAAAAATCGCACGTGCGATAGTGCAAATATCACATCACGCGCACCACTGTATTGTTTCCGTTGAAAGACAGACAGATTGTTTATTTGAGTCTCACCTCGTTACAATATAAATGAAATAATATACACATACAACTATTGAGCTAAAACTTGTAACCAGTCACTCTTTACAGGAATTATGCGAGACTAATATAAATAGTCAGAAAGTTAATACAGATATATCCCCGTAAATGATTTAGAATTACGACCATAATTGCTGGACCAAAATGTACCACCCACAGAAACAGCGACCTTATGGATAAAGTGCTAAAACCAATCAATAAACATGTCAAAACCTACATAAAAGATACCATTGATTTTCTGAACCAACTTCCCGCCTCAGTTGAAAATGGTACGAAGTTAGTCAGTTTGGATGTAGTTAGTTTATATTCAAGTAGTTATTTAGTAGTTATGACGTCTGCTTCAGTGATATGGGGTGAAGAGGCAAATATGTGACCCCTTACCAGAAACAACTTATCATAAATATGTAATCTGAAGGCACAAATGGTTGTGAAATTGGTAAAATTGCTGGGACAAACACTTTTACCGTTTTATTAAGTGATGTTCAAAAGGAGAAGATACAGAAAAGCATCTTCAGTGCCGTAAACTGTCGTGCAGATTTCGGTCGATTGGAGGATTTGCAAGACATGTGCACCGCCAACTCGTCAACAGATATTTTCCAAACTTTTTCATGTTTTTAATCATGTAGCTCGAATGATTTGATGCACTTTGCGGGGTAAGACCTGTTTTATTACAATATCAATCTTGATTATCGATCAGATCGTCTTCACTTAGTCGCCAACATTTTGTTGGAAGCAAAAGCAAGTGATATGAGAGATGGAAACTACCTGGTCAATAGGAGGGACACAGAAGGGACGTAAGACAGCTTCTGGTGGCGCTACCATCGAGCCACGAAATTCCAGCCTGATTCGGCAAGGGTTGTAATGCCCTTGTCTTGAGAAGATGAAGAGAACAATACTAAGGCGTTTAGCCGGATAGTTAAAAAGACTACTTTTGAATGAAGTTTAGGTTTCAAAATACTAATGAAGATCTGTTCTTTTCCATTCGTTAACGTTTATCATTGTTGAACAATTTATTAAGACAGTAAAATGGCCACTCCCGCATTCATCACTGCTTACATTTATGCAACCTTATGGCAGTGGCATAGCATGACAAGGGGGAGGAAGGATACAACTTACCTCATCCACATCACTTATATTGGTCATCCAAAACATGTTCACAGGAGGTGAACAGCTGAGCTCTTTCAATGCAGTTAAAGTAGACTTGGAAGTAAAGGTCTGAGCAGTCAAACCATTTTCTTTGATCCAGGAACAGATTGACGTAGCGATCTGTTTGTTTTTGTTGTTGTTTGTTTTGGTTTTTTTTGGGGGGGTGGGGGGTAGTGGTTTGTGTTTTTGTTTTTTGGGGGGTTTGTTTCCTCCGAACCCCCTTCTCGCATACGACTGGAGTAATTCCTGATTCCACCTAAAATCTTGTCTTTTACTTTCCTCATAATACTTCTTTTTATCATGTTTATAGTAGTCTTTTAAGCGGGATGAAATGTTGAACATTCAAATGACGAAGCATCTTGTAAAACCGTGTTGTCTACTTGTTTTTTTGCTTTGAGTTGCCCAATCATGTGACCACAGGGTCAGGCGATGTTCGTCCATATTGCGTAGTCGCGTATACATACGGTATAGCAATACACCCCTAGTATTGTACAACCCCGGGGAACTGTCCAATGTAAACACCAGGAGCGTTTTTGGTATTTCCAGAGACGTAGGAAGAAAAGTGCCGCTCAATTCTGTATGGCTTAAACACATGAATGTTTCGTCATTCTCTATATACAAGCACCATAGTTAAGAGTTGACCGCATCATTGAGTCATAGAGTCTGCTACATGTATGATAAGTCATTCCAACCATCATCTTATATTTTGAGATAAGGAGGACAAATGCTCTGCTCGCAGATGAGGTTGACTGCCAGGAATTCATTCTTTGTCACATATTATTGAATTTGTAATTTTCCTTAGAATCTTTTCATTCAAAAACAGTTAGTATATCATTTTCATTTGTATTGAATTTAAAATATTGTCTGGTCCAGACTCGACTATTTACAGACCTGTCATAGAGCTGGTCTATTGCTGAGTGCGGCATTAAACAACAAACACGACAAGGTAGTTAAGAATTTAGTTTCACTTTGTGGGAGTTCATTGGAGAATGAACATTAATAAAGTTAGGGCCGAACTGTATGAACGTCGGAGCTTCTGAGTTCAAGATAAAAGGGTCTAAAGGATCAGACACAGGGGCTTGAAACGCATAAAATAGCAGCTGCAAGATATATGGTCAGAACTAGCACTGGGTCATAAACTCCTAAGACAGGTCCGACCATGTCTTAGTTTTTGTCATAAACTTAGGGGGCACGGTTGGCCCAGTCATCTAAGGTGCCGGGATTCGCTGTGCACAGTTGCATCCCTTGGGCATGCCTGCTTTGTGGGTTCGAATCCCGGTTCGTTCAGTTTCTAGGTTTGTCAGCACCATACCCGTGCTCGTGGGTTTAACTGAAGTGGTAAACTCCTGAGACCTGCATCACTTTGGGCTTTCCTCTCACATTAAGCTGACACCCACGATATAACTGGAATACTGTTAAAAGCGGCGTTAAACCCAACTCACTCACTCATTCACTCTTGAGATAACTTAATTCTACGTCAGCTTCGATAATAGACTTGCTAAGATTGTTTTCTCATCGACATCTTTAACACCAATCCTAGCGCTATTAAGTCAGCTTCGTAAATAGACCTCACCAGGACAAATTCCATAACCTTGACAGCAAAGCCTGTGTCAGGGTGAGTTTCCTAACCTAATCATCCCTGATGCTTACCATTGATACTGTCATGTTCTTCCCACACGAGGACTACTGTTAGAAGGCAACAATTCCCAATCAGTTTAAATTCAATTCTGACATTTTCTGAGAAAATGCTGTTTACATTCAACCAGGTAACGATTTCGTCTGTCTTTTTTAATTGGCTATTCCTCTTTTCTCAAATATAATTTTGGTCAAGCATTTGTGTGTCAACTCATTTAAGTATTAAAATCTGCAAAGTTGCTATGTTGAGGTGTTGGATAGACGATTGTAAAACATATTGCAAGCAAACAATGAGGCAGTAAGCAGGACCAAAGGTGGAAGCACTTGGTCCCCCAGGTAAGAACACAAGACGTAACTGTTGAGTTGGTTACATCCACTAACCTCTAAGAAGCATGATAAGGACATATGAAGAAAATGTTTCTTACGGCATATGTACCTTTTTTAACTTGGCAGTTGAAAAACAACATTAGAAAAGGTATATATTTGGACATTTATTTACAAAAGGATTTGTAATAACAATATGCAATGAAATAAGCTAATAATTACATACAAAAACAATGGAACCCCAAAATATGATGAGGTGTCTCTGCTGACAGTAAGCGAGTGAGCTGGGTTTTACCCTGCTTTTAGCAACACTCCCATAATATCCAGGCAGTAAGCCACCTGAATCTTTTCTCACTGACAGGAGAAAAAGGAAGACTAGAAGATATGAATCTGTACATTTCTGACCCATGCACAAACCTGAAGGATCATATTCAATCATCAAGGTGATATTCTAGAGCGAATGAGTTGGGTTGAACACGGCTTTGAACAGCATTCCAGTTATGTCATGGAAGTATGTTTAAGTGTCAGCTTAATGTGGGAGGAAAGCACGAAGTGAAGATACTTTTAGAAACAAGTGGCTTTACAGATCCAACAACCCACATAAATGAAAATAATCAACTTTAAAAATCACTGTTTCCTTCCAATGACTGACAACTTACCACTGAAACATTGTGCATACAAGAATAATAATCTTATTTAATGCACGGAAATTAAATTCATGATTTCAGAAACTGAGATGGTGTGGCCTGACAACTTGCATTATTATCGTTACGTTAACCTTGTTCATCGTTCCAGGACTGAACTGGTACAGAACATGTTTGAAAGAAACAACACTTTGTGAAATACTGATAAAAGAAACTAAGTTCAACTAAAACATTATCTTTGTTATGTCTATGTAAAACTTATATTTCCAGTGACATACAAAGTGACTATGTTATTACTATGGCAGGATAATTATTAGAAATACCTTCTAATTACAAATTATGTCCTCAGACAATACCATCTCATAGAAAATACAAATACCTATTTTCTTCTTTAAACAAATTCAACAAAACCCTTTCCATATTCATAAGAAATTTATTGAGCATGTTTCCATTAACCACCATCAAATAGTGATGAGGTGTTTGCATGGCACCATCACAAACACACAAGTCATTTGTTCACTTACAAATATGGGAACCTATGGTAGAAGTCAAAACAGGGAACTGCATGAGACCTTAATGCTGCCACTGATAAATTCCCCAAGCTCATTGTGTTCGTGCTGTACAACTCTACTGCCTATATAAAGCTAACAAGAACAAGGCATTGTCAACACACTAGGCCAGCATAAATTATTTAGATTTTCCTGTCCACCTCACCACCAAACACGCCACCTCACATGATGATACTGGGCCCAGGTACCTCCAGACCAAGACATGTGTCCCCTTCTTTCTTTAGTCATCCTTAGTTCATGAAGACACTAAATACATTCAGGATCACATCCATCGACACTAAACATACACAGATGCCCTGAACAGTATGTTTAAAATAAAAGCAAAATGATTAAAAATAAAATATTTGTAAGAAATTGTTAAAATGAACATCTTGTGGCCTGATGTGTAGAATGCATGCACGTGGCATCAGTGGGCCAGTTGAAGCAACATGACCTCCCATCGCTTCATTGTTTAGAGCAATACAACTTGGAGACGAACCAAGTGTATTTACAATTTAGATTTCAATGTTAATTTCATTTAAACCCAAACGCAACAGCAATAGGTATCAAATCAAAGTTTGAACCTCTAAAATGAAAACACACAAAAGTTATCTCCATTCTACCATGACACCAAACAAACGCGAACTCTTTGGTTAAAGCAGCAATGATTAATACTTTTTCAGTCGGTTGAAAGGGTGAATTCAAGTTTCAGTGAGGATCCATTTTAATCTGCATATATATATATATGTTTGCATCATGTACCCAAACCAAAATTTTCATCCTAATACCTGAAGCACTTAAAGAAGACACAAAAATATCTTGTGGCAGATATCCTGTACACTTCTGCTAACACATGCACAAACCAGGAGAATCATATTCACTGAAGGTGACTATTTGCTGTAGTTATGCTGTATATATGCTTATAACGAACTACGGTTATAACGAACTAAAAAAAGTAGTCCCTTTGAGTTCGTTATAACCGTAGTTTACTGTACTTGTAGAGTGAGTGAGAGTTGGGTTTAACACAGCTTTGAACAGTATTCCAGTTCCATCACAGCGTGTCAGATCAAAGTGAGGATGAAAGCCCTAAGTGATGCCAGTCTCAGACATCAACCACCTTAGTGAATCCCACCAGCAGGGGTATGGTGCTGACAAACCTAAAGACATAATTGGGGCGAACCGGAATTCGAACCCACAATCATAGATTTCTCACATGCCCAAAGCACGCGCAACTATTTGCGGGACCTTAGACAGAAGACTAGGCCACCAGTGCCCCCATAGAGAAAATAAAGCAATCTTTGCAATGTTATGTTCAAATGTCTAAGCATTTTAATGCAGTGGACATGACATCGCAGTACATGATAGGGTAGAGCCAAATTTCCAGCCATGTCAATGTCACTGAAGTTTTCAATACATTCTATACATATTTGTTTGTCAAGTTTTCCTCCTGAAATATGTTGCCACACTTGCCTTAAATAGTGTAGAAACCGCAACATGTTATTTAGCAATGTTAAGGAAGTAAGATCACTATCTAAGATCAAGACTTTGTGAAAGGTACAGAAGCCTTTTAGGGCCATTTGGTGTTTTTTTATACTATCTTGACATTTCAAGATACTAAGTTGAAATTTCAAGATATACTAAGTTGAAATTTCAAGTTATGATCTTGAAATTACAAGATACATACTAAGTTGAAATTTTCAAGATAGTATCTTTAAATTTCAACTTAGTATCTTGATATTCCAAGAAAAAAACAAATGGCCCTAAAAGGCTTCCGTAGAAAGGAGTGCTGCTGAATAAATATTTTCTTTTGCGGTAATGTGGCCATCAGCAAGATCCTGGTGTGTCATAGATCTAGACCGGGGCCATTTGTTGCCCCTTACTACTGACATCAACTCAGTGAGCTAGACCGGGGCCCATTTGTTGCTCCTGCTCAATCTCATACACAAAGCTGTGAAAGTAAGTGGACACTAGAAGCATTGCTTTATTTTATTGCCATGAACAGGAGTTAGTTCCAGACATCTATCAGCAGTAGACTGTGGCAGTCATCTACTGACATAAGAATGACATCCACACCCAAAACTTCCCCATGTATTTCATTTCTATTATTCACATGGTTCTTCTGCACTGTGCACTGCACACTCAATTGATTGTTGTCAAAATAGTTTTCATGTACAACTAGATATACTTTTTCACCCCTGTACATTTAACATCAATTTTTCATATTACTATAAATCATTCATCCTCTGTATGCAAATATATTATTAATCCCATGATTTTATCATTTAGAGATTCCATGTTCTGTATGATAACAGACGGTTGACGGTTAACAGTTTGCACTAAGGGTGGGACAATACACCAACTGTAGGATCCAATACGTATCACGATACCTTGCTCACTATCCAATACGTATCACGATATTTGCACGTGTTCATATCATTGGTGTGTAAGCCACCTTTTTCATGGACAGGATGGCCAAATACCTAGCACAACGATTTACTGCTGGCAGTATCATGTAATGGCGCAATGGATGAAAATATCTGCATTTTCACTACTCATTTTTGCTAGCAGTTAGTGTTTGGTGTAACATTTATTAAAGAATACATTTAAAGTTAGAATCAATACCTTTTACTAAGTGTGCGACTTTGATACTTGTATCGAGAAGTAAAAAGTCTCAATCCACCAATGCATCGGTGTATAGTCCCACTACCAGTTTACACACCGTTCTCTCACAACATTGTGGCTGCATATTCAAACTCTTCCCTGTCACCTGTGGGCAGTGTGATTCCCAGGTGTGTTAGGCCTCCTGATAGTCATGTGTGTACTGGGGATGGGACGTGTAGCCTAACAAGTGTCCGTTTATAAGGCACTGAATCACCCACTCCGTGGAGACCAGGGGTATTTTGAGCTGCTTGGCTTGGTGAAGTACTGATGATGGACAGCCGGAATCAGTGACAATAACATTCACTGAATCTTCTGAAACAGATGGACACATTACAGCATGGCTAGAGATGAACTCATCCCTAATGTCTGTTTTATCGTCATTTGTGGGGGTGTTGTAACTTGTTACAGTGGGTAATTTACAATGCTGACGCTTCATCTTACTTCAGATGACAGAACTGGTTCATACAGATATTTCTGGTCAAAATTCAAACACTTTTCAAAGGCAAAATCCTGTTTGCCATAATTTTTGTTACCATCCCCCAAAAGCCAATTAATCACTGCAAAGTATAGATGAAATACTTTCAACTTCAAAACAATCAATTCATCATTTTATGAGCTTCAAGTTTTCCATAGCAGTTAGTCACATGAGACTTTCCTCCATTTTGAAGATGTCAATGTCCTTCCTGCAGCAGAAACACACTGCCTGATTTGTGTCCTTCATGTGCAGCCTCAATGCACAGTTAAATACGCACTTCTCTATCACCCGATTCAAAACAATCATGTGAGGAACAGCAACTGTGCACCCTACATTTCGTTTAATGGTCTGAATGAAGCTCTAGTGCATCCATTATCCAACAGATTCTGATGATGATCTGATAAGCGATGCCCTGATTGGTCAGATGAAAGGTTGTTCTGACATGGCCCGCAATGTGATGTCCTCAGATCTTTGTTTAGCAGTAGCACAAACCAAGATCTGATTTTCATGAGATTGCTATAAGAACAGGCAATGTTTTCCATGATACAGGGGAGGTAACTCTCCAAAAAAAGTGCTGTATGAATGTGTCATTGTCAGCAAGTTGAAATAATCACAGTTCTTAGTGAAATAGAAACAATTACAACATAACATACATCAACTCTCAATATTCAGCTGACACATTGGCCCTACTTCAAGAAAATAGTTTTGAGAATGGTTGTGCCATTTCTTCAAATTCCACAATGTTCTGTTAGTAACTTAATCCCTACCTGTTTTGTTCTTAACAGGCAGTCTGTTGACCAGGTGGCACCTGGAGATGGTCAGTATTGACCGCCAAGCATCCTGGAACTTGACGTTAGTGGATGCCACCATGACCTGAAGACCTCCCAGACAGCTGCCCCCAGCATTCCTGCAGTCAACATAATGGGTCATGTACCATGCAGAGGTTTTCAGCTCCATTAGCTGACACAATGTGTCTTGACAATATTCATCCCCACCATAGAGCGGACACAATGTGTCTTGACAATACCCATCCCTACAAAAGGACCTACACAATGTGTCTAGAGAATACCCATCCCTACCAAACAGCCTACACAATTTGTCTTTACAATACACATCACTACTAAAGGGCCAATACAGTGACTTCAAGGACGCCAGCAATGTTCACTGAGTGGCAGGGGTGTCAAGGATGCCAGCAATGTTCACTGAGTGCCAGGGGTGTCAAGGACGCCAGCAATGTTCACTGAGTGCCAGGGGTGTCAAGGACACTAGCAATGTTCACTGAGTGCCAGGGGTGTCAAGGACGCCAGCAATGTTCACTTGAGTACCAGGGGTGTCAAGGACGCCAGCAATGTTCACTGAGTGCCAGGGGTGTCAAGGACGCCAGCAATGTTCACTGAGTGCCAGGGACGTCAAGGACGCCAGCAATGTTCACTGAGTGCCAGGGGTGTCAAGGACGCCAGCAATGTTCACTGAGTGCCAGGGGTGTCAAGGACGCCAGCAATGTTCACTGAGTGCCAGGGGTGTCAAGGACACCAGCAATGTTCACTGAGTGCCAGGGGTGTCAAGGATGCCAGCAATGTTCACTGAGTGCCAGGGACGTCAAGGACGCCAGCAATGTTCACTGAGTGCCAGGGGTGTCAAGGACGCCAGCAATGTTCACTGAGTGCCAGGGGTGTCAAGGACGCCAGCAATGTTCACTGAGTGCCAGGTGTGTCAAGGACGCCAGCAATGTTCACTGAGTGCCAGGGGTGTCAAGGACGCCAGCAATGTTCACTGAGTGCCAGGGACGTCAAGGACGCCAGCAATGTTCACAGAGTGCCAGGGGTGTCAAGGACGCCAGCAATGTTCACTGAGTGCCAGGGGTGTCAAGGACGCCAGCAATGTTCACTGAGTGCCAGGGGTGTCAAGGACGCCAGCAATGTTCACTTGAGTACCAGGGGTGTCAAGGATGCCAGCAATGTTCACTGAGTGCCAGGGGTGTCAAGGATGCCAGCAATGTGATTGTCTTGCATCACTCACCATTCCATGAGTTTCCTCCTCTCCAGACTGATGCCAGCAGGCAGGATGTACGCCTTATGATCCAGCAGCCTGCCCTGGACAAACATAGCCTACACTGTAGCCAAGACATTTACAAACATATCCAGGAATATGGATACAGTGGTCCCTCGCTTTTGCGCTCTTCAATATAGCGTTAACTCGGTTATAGCGCGCAGTAAAGCATGACTCCCAAAGCCTACTTACATTTTTAATAAACTCAAGTTTTCCAATGACACAATGTTTTTCCCCCTTCTCAAAAAACATAATCAACTGATCGCCGGAATCATGTAACACCGGAAATACTAGTCAACTAATCTGAACTGAATCCTATTATTATAATATCTGGTTATAAAAAGGTGTTCATTGTTTATCTGGACTGATGTTTGAAATATATTTTATTAATTTATCGGTAGATCGCACAACTCACTGTTATTTACAGCATACATGGTCAGATTACCCCTAATGACGCCTTGAAACAAACTTAAGTTGCAAGAGAATGGATACACATATCATAAATGCTGTACCATGACTCGCTAAAGTTATATTTGAGGCAGTTTGACTGTTAAATGTCAACACAACATTTTCACAATCGAAATACATGTAGCGCAGGAAGTCCCTATGGTGACTGGTCAGATTGTTGCATACATAAAAATATCCTGCATACCACCTGTACCAAAGTGCTATGCTTATGGTCCTTATAATTTTAAATATATATGGTGAAAGCTGCAACTAAAATAATAAACATGATATTGGAATATATTATTCCTGATAAAATAATTTCAGATACAATTTCTTCCGACCATTGCATAAAAATTCTTTGAAGTTGTATCATTGGATACTTTTTAATTGAATCACTGCTAGATTGGGAGGAAACTTGTGCACAGCTTAGTTTACGAGAAAATACACTAGGTAATCTTAATCTCTGCATATGAAACAATGCCTTGGAGAGCAGGAAACACAATTTAAATTGTAAATCACCATGTCTAGTGATGTTTTATATGAAATTTCATATTTTTATTGACCAAGTTTTTCATACCTCTTTATTAACCTGAATTTGCTGAAGGGATGCGGTGTGTATTTTTGACAGTGCATATTAATACTTGATAAATATGTTTTTACACTATGAATCATAAACAACTTCTATTCTAATCTTTTTTTAAACTGTGAAACGTGGTGCAACGTAGATCATGTTAGGTAGGCAGAGCATGTATACTGTTTTTTTTAATATCTGTCACCTACAACACCACCTCTGTTAAACCGCTGAGCGTCTATAATGCTCATCAATTATTTGGAGCGAGGGATCACTGTACCTTCAAATTCATCCAAACAATCTAACTGTTCCAATCTAATCAAAGTCAGAACAAAACCACACAACATGCAGTTGGTATTTGCGGATGCTTGACACTTCTCGTTAGCATTCATTTGAGACTACCCTCACACCAAAGATATCCATGATATCCACAGAATACTATATTTGTACAGGAGTAAATGATGGGACACACAGGGGATGTTTACCTCTGTACAGGAGTGTATGATCCACTGATGGGACACACAGGGGATGCCTACCTCTGTACAGGAGTGTATGATCCACTGATTGGACACGCAGGGGATGCCTACCTCTGTACAGAAGTGTACGATCAACTGATGGGACACACAGGGGATGCCTACCTCTGTACAGGAGTGTACGATCCACTGATGGGACACACGGGATGCCTACCTCTGTACAGGAGTGTACGATCCACTGATGGGACACACGGGATGCCTACCTCTGTACAGGAGTGTATGATCCACTGATGGGACACACGGGATGCCTACCTCTGTACAGGAGTGTATGATCCACTGATTGGACACGCAGGGGATGCCTACCTCTGTACAGAAGTGTACGATCAACTGATGGGACACAGAGGGGATGCCTACCTCTGTACAGGAGTGTACAATCCACTGATGGGACACACAGGGGATACCTACCTCTGTACAGGAGTGTACGATCCACTGATGGGACACACAGGGGATGCCTACCTCTGTACAGGAGTGTACGATCCACTGATGGGACACTCGGGATGCCTACCTCTGTACAGGAGTGTACGATCCACTGATGGGACACACAGGGGATGCCTACCTCTGTACAGGAGTGTACGATCCACTGATGGGACATACGGGATGCCTACCTCTGTACAGGAGTGTACGATCCACTGATGGGACACACAGGGGATGCCTACCTCTGTACAGGAGGGTTTGATCCACTGATGGGACACGCAGGGGATGCCTACCTCTGTACAGGAGTGTACAATCCACTGATGGGACACACGGGATGCCTACCTCTGTACAGGTGTGTTCAATCCACTGATGGGACACACAGGGGTTGCCTACCTCTGTACAGGAGTGTACGATCCAATGATGGGACACACAGGGGATGCCTACCTCTGTACAGGAGTGTATGATCCACTGATTGGACACGCAGGGGATGCCTACCTCTGTACAGAAGTGTACGATCAACTGATGGGACACACAGGGGATGCCTACCTCTGTACAGGAGTGTACGATCCACTGATGGGACACACGGGATGCCTACCTCTGTACAGGAGTGTACAATCCACTAATGGGACACACAGGGGATGCCTACCTCTGTACAGGAGTGTTCAATCCACTGATGGGACACACGGGATGCCTACCTCTGTACAGGAGTGTTCGATCCACTGATGGGACACACGGGGGATGCCTACCTCTGTACAGGAGTGTTCGATCCACTGATGGGACACACGGGATGCCTACCTCTGTACAGGAGTGTACGATCCACTGATGGGACACACAGGGGATGCCTACCTCTGTACAGGAGTGTACGATCCACTGATGGGACACACGGGATGCCTACCTCTGTACAGGAGTGTATGATCCACTGATGGGACACGCAGGGGATGCCTACCTCTGTACAGGAGTGTACGATCCACTGATGGGACACACGGGGGATGCCTACCTCTGTACAGGAGTGTACAATCCACTGATGGGACACACAGGGGATGCCTACCTCTGTACAGGAGTGTACGATCCACTGATGGGACACGCAGGGGATACCTACCTCTGTACAGGAGTGTACGATCCACTGATGGGACACACAGGGGATGCCTACCTCTGTACAGGAGTGTACGATCCACTGATGGGACACTCGGGATGCCTACCTCTGTACAGGAGTGTACAATCCACTGATGGGACACACAGGGGATGCCTACCTCTGTACAGAAGTGTACGATCAACTGATGGGACACACAGGGGATGCCTACCTCTGTACAGGAGTGTACAATCCACTAATGGGACACACAGGGGATGCCTACCTCTGTACAGGAGTGTTCAATCCACTGATGGGACACACGGGATGCCTACCTCTGTACAGGAGTGTTCGATCCACTGATGGGACACACGGGGGATGCCTACCTCTGTACAGGAGTGTTCGATCCACTGATGGGACACACGGGATGCCTACCTCTGTACAGGAGTGTACGATCCACTGATGGGACACACAGGGGATGCCTACCTCTGTACAGGAGTGTACGATCCACTGATGGGACACACGGGATGCCTACCTCTGTACAGGAGTGTATGATCCACTGATGGGACACGCAGGGGATGCCTACCTCTGTACAGGAGTGTACGATCCACTGATGGGACACACGGGGGATGCCTACCTCTGTACAGGAGTGTACAATCCACTGATGGGACACACAGGGGATGCCTACCTCTGTACAGGAGTGTACGATCCACTGATGGGACACGCAGGGGATACCTACCTCTGTACAGGAGTGTACGATCCACTGATGGGACACACAGGGGATGCCTACCTCTGTACAGGAGTGTACGATCCACTGATGGGACACTCGGGATGCCTACCTCTGTACAGGAGTGTACAATCCACTGATGGGACACACAGGGGATGCCTACCTCTGTACAGGAGTGTACGATCCACTGATGGGACACACGGGATGCCTACCTCTGTACAGGAGTGTACAATCCACTGATGGGACACACAGGGGATGCCTACCTCTGTACAGGAGGGTTTGATCCACTGATGGGACACGCAGGGGATGCCTACCTCTGTACAGTAGTGTACAATCCACTGATCGGACACACAGGATGCCTACCTCTGTACAGGGGTGTACAATCCACTGATGGGACACACAGGGGATGCCTACCTCTGTACAGGAGTGTATGATCCACTGATTGGACACGCAGGGGATGCCTACCTCTGTACAGAAGTGTACGATCAACTGATGGGACACACAGGGGATGCCTACCTCTGTACAGGAGTGTACGATCCACTGATGGGACACACGGGATGCCTACCTCTGTACAGGAGTGTACAATCCACTAATGGGACACACAGGGGATGCCTACCTCTGTACAGGAGTGTTCAATCCACTGATGGGACACACGGGATGCCTACCTCTGTACAGGAGTGTTCGATCCACTGATGGGACACACGGGGGATGCCTACCTCTGTACAGGAGTGTTCGATCCACTGATGGGACACACGGGATGCCTACCTCTGTACAGGAGTGTACGATCCACTGATGGGACACACAGGGGATGCCTACCTCTGTACAGGAGTGTACGATCCACTGATGGGACACACGGGATGCCTACCTCTGTACAGGAGTGTATGATCCACTGATGGGACACACGGGATGCCTACCTCTGTACAGGAGTGTATGATCCACTGATTGGACACGCAGGGGATGCCTACCTCTGTACAGAAGTGTACGATCAACTGATGGGACACAGAGGGGATGCCTACCTCTGTACAGGAGTGTACAATCCACTGATGGGACACACAGGGGATACCTACCTCTGTACAGGAGTGTACGATCCACTGATGGGACACACAGGGGATGCCTACCTCTGTACAGGAGTGTACGATCCACTGATGGGACACTCGGGATGCCTACCTCTGTACAGGAGTGTACGATCCACTGATGGGACACACAGGGGATGCCTACCTCTGTACAGGAGTGTACGATCCACTGATGGGACATACGGGATGCCTACCTCTGTACAGGAGTGTACG